CAGCACCCAAAGAAGTCGCAGAGATATACCCCGCTGTTTTGGTATCCGCGACATGGGTTCCACCCTGGATCTTCCCTGGCACGAAAGTGACTTCGGTCGATCCAATTTCTCCACCTTCCATCTGCCCGTTGCAAAGGTCGCGAACCATTTTCAATCCTGACAGGTGCTGAGGCCTTCAAGTCAAGAGGACTGAGTTAGAACAGAAGCAAAGCCTGCGTATACATTCACGTAGCAAAGAATACTAGATTTTTGCATGTCCGGTGCAAACTTCTCAGTACACCAGAGGTGCAAGCAGTAACTTGCCTGCAAGCTCAGGGTGAGCAACCATTGTCCCTGGCCAAGAAAATTAGTGGTCATAGCAGCAATCACCTTCCAGGGAAAGAGGAAACCAGTGCTATCACAGCTGCAGAATTCCCTGGGAAGAGGGATTGGTTGCTAAAGTACCCTGGAAATCGTAGCTCTGTGAGGGGTCTCCTAACAGCTCCCAGAATTCTTTGGGAGAAGCCCTGACTGTCCAAAGTAGCATGATAATGCTTTAAATTCACAGTGCACATGAGGCCTCAATCACTGCTAGCACACAGAAGAGATGCTAAGTCTGTATGGGGCGCTAAGGGATCTCCGGCTGCAAGCAGAGGCTCATATGGCTGAATGCTACCCAGCAAGACCAACAAAAGATTCCTACACATAGAAAACGAGCGTGTCAGGGAGAGTCTTGCCCTAGAACAGGACTGGTGACTCTGTGGGCTTCCAAACTGTGGATTCCAATCAACCATCAGCGCAGCTAAAGGTCACGGAGGATGGGAGTTGTAGTCTAGCAATAAATAAAATAAATAGCTGAAGAGTCACAGGTTATCTCCCCAAGTGTTATCTATTATTATTTGAATTTATATACCGTCCTATACCCATAGGCCTCAGGGCAGTTCACAGGATAAAATCAGAACACAAAACCAAGAAGCACACAATCAAACAAAAACAACCACAACCCAACAACCCTCCCCCAAACACATTTTAAAACAGCAGAGGATGTACGTTATAAACAGTTAAATCACTTTTAAAAATGATTGAAAAGGACATACAAAACCAGAAAAAGCAGTACTATCTGCTGGGCAGCAACACCAGTCCTTATGAAGCCTGTCAGCCGCGCCTCCCCCCCCCCCCGGGTCAGGTAGATAGAGGCAGGACCCTCAGGCTCTCAGCAGGGTGGTCCTTGATGATTGTCCACCCCAACTTGGTTTGCGATGCAAAACGGATGCGCATTCAGCCACGCTGACATTCCCACCCTGCAGTCTGAAGCGATAATGTCCAGATGCAGAGCATCATGGGCTCAGGTGATTGACAGGTGGGCCTGCCAGGTTGGGGGCAACGAGGTTCCCCAACGCCTCTCCTAAAGCAAACCGCTTTGTCAACTGTTCTCCTGGACTTACCTAAGGCCAGGCTGACTCCTGCCGGCTCGGATATTTTTCACATGTAAGGGCGTACCACAGAGGCAGCTCAGAGCTGTGGTGACGCGCAGGATCTGGCCACCCTGAAAGGAAAAGAGAGGATCAAATACTTGCGACAGATAGAAGTGACTGTCATGCAGATACAGCCTCATCACTGTTTCCAGGCAGCCTGCTCCTCTTTCCAGAAATTAAGTACTGTCCTGCTATTGCAGTTACCCAGTCTATTTGTATGCACGCGGACTTTGTTTACAAGTCCCACTGGGTACCTGGGTGGGTAGGCAGAGGTCTTTGGGGAAAGGCCATAGAATAACAGAATTGTGGAGTCAGAAGGGCTCCCCAGGGTCATCTAGTCCAACCCCCTGCAAGGCAGGAATCTCAACATGTGGTCCCCCATCCAATTTGAAACCATAGTGTCTAGCTTTGCAAGTGTGCTAGCAGGTTCATTGCTGCGTAAGTCAGTGGCAGAGGACGTGCTTTTTATGCAAACAACCGCATGCTCAATTCCTGGGGTCTCAGGGTAGGCCTAGGACAGATCCATGCCTGAAACCCCGAAGCGCTACTGCCAGTCTGTGCCAACAGTTCAGAGCTACATGGCCAATGGTCTGGCTTCTTATAAGGCAGCCGCCTATATTCCTTTGACTGCACCTTGCTTTTAAAGTGCTTTCTGATTTTGGTCATAAATAATGACTTGCAGCAGCACACCTGCAAGGCGGGCTACTAACCAGGGGCGGACTTTGGTAACACGGCACCCTGAGCAAGGAGAAAATTTGGCAGTATTCTCCTGATCTGGAGAGCAGGACTCGAACCAGCAACTTCAAGTTACAAGAAATGAGACTAAACATCAGGAAAAACTCTCCTGAGAGGAAGAAGGTGTTCTACGGTGGAAGGGGAGGTGGTGGGCCAGGGGTCAGCAAATTTTTCAACAGGGGGCCGGTCCATTGTCCCTCAGACCTTGTGGGGGCCCAAACTATATTTTTGGTGGGGGGAATGAACAAATTCCTATGGCCCCACAAATAACCCAGAGGTGCATTTTAAATAAAAGCACACATTCTATTCATGTAAAAACACCAGGCAGGCCCCACAAATAACTCAGAGATGCATTAAATAAAAGGACACATTCTACTCATGTAAAAACACGCTGATTCCTGGACCGTCCGCGGGCCGGATTGAGAAGGCGTTTGGGCCAGATCCGGCCCCCGGGCCTTAGTTTGCCTACCCATGTGGTGGGCTCTCCTTTCCTGGACGTATTTTTAGCAGAGGTTGGATGGCCATCTGTCACAGCTGCTTTCGCTGAGATTCCTGCATTGCAGGGTGGGGGGGGCCTAGATGACTCTAGTGACCCCTTCCAACTCTACAGTTCTATTCAGAAGCAAGCCCCACCGAGCGGGGCTGCAGCCTATTATAAGTCACCTGGGTGGGGTAAGGAGAAAGGTAAACACAAGCAGTTTGGCATTCCCGTTGGGGAAACCAAGCAAGGGGTTATGCGGCTCCACAGCAGGGGATCGAAGGGGAGACGCTCCCCCCACAATATCCAAGAATGCAACTCCGATCTACCTGGAGGCCGGTCCGGTCCCCCCCCCCAAAAAAACCCCATTCATTCAGGTCCATGGCGGCTATGAACCCCGAGAAAGGCAGCCGGCCCCGCGCGTAATCCTCTCCGACTCCCCAACTCACCCCTTCCATGATGCCGCCGTCGATCTCCACCGGCTGTGGATCGCCCATGATCGGAAGCCGCCGTCGAGGATCCGAGCCCTGGAGCCTGCGGACCTGGGCAAGAAGGAGACGCCGGCACACCCGCCCTTTGCTCCAGGCCGCCGCCAGTGAGGAAGGGAAGTCGCAGACTCGGCTGAAGCGCCGCCTCTGCCGGGCTCGGGTTGGAGGAGCGCGGAGCAGGCGCACAGGGAAACCAGCGCAGCCGCCCTTTCCGCGGATCTGCGGTGCTGCTTACGAAGCGCGTCTCTCTCTCGCGTTTCCCACCCTGGTGGGATTTGGCTTCTCTTATCTACCGACAGGCCTTTTGCTTTTATTGAAACCGAAAATGCGTAAGATCCTTCCCAGAGCGCAGGAGATTTATTTTCTTTTTTGATCTCAGGGTCGTGGGTTCGAGTTCCGCACCGCGGGGCGAAAGTTCCCTGCGCCGCAAGAGGTTGGACTAGAATGATGAGCCCCGCGCAACTGCCACTGAAAACAGACAGCAGCTTGTCAAAACGCCGTATCATAAATTCCATTTATAAATTTCATGTAATTTCATTTATGTGCCATAAAATTCCAGACGCCGCTTGTGAACAAATTTGCACACAAAAAAAGGTGAAACGGGAAGATCAAAAACAATTTGCAACCAGTGCGTGCAAAAGGTTAAAATGCTAGAACAAATACCGCAGCGTAGTCTTTCCTGAGTGTGCTTCGACTATCTTTTATTCGGTTTGAGCAGCAATAGGATCCGGCCGACCCCACCCTTGAGGCAAGAAGGTAAGGCAAGAAGGGTGGCACAATCCACAGGGGCAGCAGATCCCGAGGCAGATCTTGATTCCCGATGTAGATCTTGATTCACCCCTTGTTCCCATGGCAGGGAGGGGTTCGCCTCGGTCTTGGACCAGCCCTGAACAGGGTATACGACAGTGCGGAAACACTGTTCCTTACTTGCATTGCAGGACTAGATGATTCGTGTGGTCCCTTCCAACTCTACAATTCTGTGATTCTACTTTTTTGTTGTCGTTTAGTCGTGTCCGACTCTTCGTGACCCCATGGACCAGAGCACACCAGGCACTTCTATCTTCCACTGCCTCCCGCAGTTTGGTCAAACTCATGTTAGCAGCTTCGAGAACACTCTCCAACCATCTCATCCTCTGCCGTCCCCTTCTCCTTGTGCCCTCCATCTTTCCCAACATCAGGGTCCTTTCCAAGGGAGTCTTCTCATGAGGTGGCCAAAGTATTGGAGCCTCAGCTTCAGGATCTGTCCTTCCAGTGAGCACTCAGGGCTGATTTCCTTCAGAATTGATGCGTTTGATCTTCTTGCAGTCCATGGGACTCTCAAGAGTCTCCTCCAGCACCATAATTCAAAAGCATCAATTCTTCGGCGATCAGCCTTCTTTATGGTCCAGCTCTCACCTCCATACATCACTACTGGGAAAACCATGGCTTTAACTATAGGGACCTTTGTTGGCAAGAGGTTCTTTCTCCCCCCACACTCTCCACAATAACCCTGTGAGGTAGGTTAAACAGAGACATACATATGTATGTTTGCATATGAGCAAGGTGTGTGTGTGTGTGTGTGTGTGTGTGTGTATTAGTGATGCCACAACACTGCCATAGGCAGAAGCCTGTTTTTTCTAAAACATATACCCGGCTTCGTGGGCTGCCGAAGAGCTCTGTGCCGCTCGGCTGCTTGCGGCTGTCCATAGAGGAATCTCGCTTTACCTTCCAAGCTAAGCACCTCCCTCTCTCAACCATTCATTGGAGAGAGAGAGAAACAGACCTTCAAGGGGGCGGGGGCAGCCTTCAACGTCTAATTGGCTACCGGGCGCCAATCGTGCGATCCCATTGGCTGCCAGGTGGGAGGGGTGGGGAGGCGAGGGTCTCTCCTCTCTCTTGTCTTCCCTCCCCCGGAATAAGATGGCGGCAGCCGTCGGGCTGAGGAGCTTTTACAAGGCGACGGGGCGCCTGGTAAGGGGGCAGTGCAGTGAAGCCCACGAGAAATGGGCGAGTGGGGGGAGGTTAGGGGTGGGTGGGTTAAGAGCAGCTCCTCAGTCGATCCCGCGCCCCAGCGATCCTCCTCTGTGGAAAGCAAGAGATCTGGGAGGACCTTGCCTTGAAATCTGCCAGTGATTGCGGGTCTTTGAGCGCCTTGGTTGCCCGCCATATGGTTGCTCAAGGCGGCTTGCAAGGATCTGAAGGGTCACCTGAATCAGGGTCGTCAAAAGTGGGGAACTGTGGTCGATCCTCCTCCCAAAAACGCCCCTGTCGGTAACACCTTAAGAGATCTCTGCTGCTGCAGTAGGTAGAGCGTGTCATATTAGGGAGGTTGAACTAAAATTTTGCAGATTTCTCCCATGAGCAAGGTCTTTAAAATACGTTTTTGAGGTGCGAGGGATTAAAATCTGCTCTTATTTTTGCGACTGGACTACATTTGGCTTGGTAGATCTGCGTTCCATTTTTTTTAAAAAAAGCACATAAGCTAGTTTTGCAGAACTGAAATCATGTTAATCTTACCATCTGAGAATGTAAGGCGATAGCGAATAAGAATAACAACATATATACCACCAATCCTTTTTAATGGTTTCTGCGCAATTTGTTGCACGTTTTGCTTAGCCAACAAAGCTAAATATTGATGTAACCGAAATATCTTTTGCCTTACAACTTTTTAAGCACTCCTCAGTTTTTGGAAATTGAAGAATTCAACACCCCCTACCGCTGCTGCTGTCTTGCCCATTTTTGCAGTCTTAGCTCTCTCAAACTTCCCAGTATAAAATCTGCTCTGCCACATTCCTATTTGTATATAAGGTTTTTGAAAACAACAGCAGTTTTAAACCGATTTGTTAATGAAAGATGTTTTCCAACCACTGTTAGTGCTGGTGGCTTGATGGAGCTTCCATGTACAGAGGCAGCATACCTGTGGGTAGGTCCCAGATGTTGGGACAAATACTGGTGGTTTGAAGACAGGCAAGGTCCCCATTCTGCTGAGTCTAGGTCTGATCGGTGCCTGACTGGGAGGTGTCTTGGAAGCCCAATGTATGTTGCCTGAGGTTATATGATGAATATTTAGAAATGTGAAAAACGAAAACCCAGGAAATTATGGTTAAAAAATGTCAAGTTTATGTTTTGCACTTAGTCCTCTGAAGAACTCAGGGCAGCTTATGTATGGTCCCCAGGCAGTCTATACATACAGTAAAAAAGGTAAAGGACCCCTGACAGTTAAGTCCAGTTGCGAACGACTCGGGGGTTGCGGCGCTCATCTCGCTTTACTGGCCGAGGGAGCCGGCATTTGACCGCAGACACTTTTTCCAGGTCATGTGGCCAGCATGACTAAGCCGCTTCTGGCCAAACCAGAGCAGTGCACGGAAACGCTGTTTACCTTCCCGCCGGAGTGGTACCTATTTATCTACTTGTACTTTGACATGCCTTCGAACTGCTAGGTTGGCAGGAGCTGGGATGGGAGCTCACCCCGTCATGGGAATTCGAACCACCAACTTTCCGATCAGCAGGCCCTAGGCTCAGTGGTTTAGACCACAGTGCCACCCATATCCCTCCTGCCACCCAAGTCCAAACTTCAGATCTTGTCACAGGACCTCCTGCCATTTGTCTAGTGGCCTGTCCTTTGTGAACCCACCGAGGGACTCTTGACCTGACATTTGTGGATGATGATTAGATTCTATGTGTGTCTTCTCCATTTGTGATGAACACTGAACGAGTATTTTACAACGTATTCAAGCTAGCAAACTTTTGTTAAACTGATATAGAGTTGGAAGGGACCCCGAAGGTCATCCAGTCCCACCCCTGCAATGTAGGGTCCTGCCTGCAGCCATCCCTGGATGGTCTCGAACCACCAACCTCCTGGTTAACAGCCAGACCCACTGCGCCGCAGGGGACTAACTGCAAGTACATCCTTCACTTGATTCTTATCTATGCACATGCAGATTAATCTGGCATACAGTCAGAACTTGATAACTTGAATTGGTAAACGATATGCATGTGCTTAGTTAAGTCTAAGCTTCTTTGATAATTCCCTTGAATTCCACTGTGAGCTGCGGCTATTTATGATAGTCCGATACCTAATCCCAGTGTAAAGGATTGGGAATGAGAACAACCCTGCTGTGTGGATCTTGGTGCGGCGTTTTGATTTCATTTAATGTCTGGTGCAAGTTTGCGTGCGGTTTGCAGGATTTGTGAGTTGAGATGCTGCTGCAGTCTACTTTGAGTTCAGATTGTGTAAAAAGTTTGGCAGAAGTTTACTTCAGAAAGTAGTTAATACGCTGATGATGGACACTGAAATTGCCAATTTCAGTACTTTATTTGCTTATGATGGTATTGGGGTGGTTATACATGACCACACTACCAATACTGTTTACACTTGCAAATGTTTTTGGAGTGGACATACTACTCCATTTCTAGTCAGTGCAAGTCCCTTAGCGTCCTGCTGGAATCCTGTAACTCTTTATACCCCAAATGTTCAGGCCTGTTTTTTTGTCCGGCAATACTCCCCCATAATGGGCTAACATTAGGGAAGCATTGCAAAAGAAGCAATAACATGGAATGATGTTCTGATGGTCCTGTAAATTTCTTCCTAGTATAGGAGGGAAGAGAGTTTGAATATTCTTTACTCGGAGTTAAAGGTACCACATTTAAACCAACTTTCCCACACAGGTCTCCTCTTTCCTGGACTTGCCAAGAAGATCATTGCTCAGTTTTTACTATGTGAAATGCTTGAGGTACTTTGCGGGACTTGCTACACTTCCTTATTAGGAATCCCAGCGGTTAACTTTTGTTTTAAACCATTTTAGGTTGATTCTAAGGCATCTTGATCTCTTTTGGGAAGCTGTGCAAAAGAACAACTCTTTGAGTATTGTGCTGTTTTTGAAATGGAAAAACGGTGCCTTGTAGATTATTCTGCAGATGCTCTCTCACTGTCCTAATGACTTTCAAACTGGACTTGGGAGCAAGACACCCTCTGTGACTCCTCCCACCATTGATGGATGGATGAGACCTGATGCAGTTCTGTGGCTGAGCATCCCTCCAGCTTCTCAAAAGAAGATCTTCTGCAGCACACCTGCTCCTTTGCATTCCTCCACAGCTTGAGAACATCGGCATAGGAATTCTCCCTCCCTTCCCACTATTTCACTAAGAAAGTAATAAGCAAATCCATGCAGTTTACATCCAATGAGAATAACATTGACAATAAGATTACGTATCTGTGCCCTAAGTAAGTAAGCAAGCACCTATGGAAGCTAATCAGTTGCACCTTCTCACTGCTGATTTTGACCTAATTGCAGCATTAATCTAGTTGTGATTTTGGTAAACAATATTGTAGTGATTGGGACCACAGCTGAGGTCAGACAGATTGCTGGTGTGGTTTTTTTCTTGGTCACCCCTTCAAAGCTCTGATGAGCTTGTAAGATACAAAATGGCTACCTCTTCAGTGCTGGAGCATGGTCCATAGATGCACTGTGGACGTACATTTCCTGATATTGCCCAAAACTGAAGAGAAGGGGGCAGCTTCTCTTTATACAGAGCTCCGTGTTGACTCCAAAGCCCACGGCCCGGAGCTAGGGGAATCTGATGGTGGTTTTTAATATGGATGTTTACATTTCTTCTATACAGGCCCCTCAGGATTTTGAGGACAAATCTTCACTTTTTTTGTTAACTTCCAATGAACACACAATATGGCAGAATTTCCCTTCTGAAACAAAGCAATTAATAACAATGAGTAAGATGCAAATGATAACATCTGCTAACTTTAATTGTCATTTTTCTCCCCCAATAATAAGTTGCTTCTGTGCGCTTCTGACAAATTGAAAGAAGAGAATAAGCGGCGATTTCAGTCGTGCTTGTCTCTAAGGCTTGTTTTTTGTTTCCTTTGCCAGCTCTGCGTCCACCATATTAGATTGTACAGTAACTTCCGTTCGCTAAAGGCAAAATACAATTGTGGGCTTGACAAGCCCTCATGGAGGTATCGAAATCCACACCGATTGTTCAGAACAACTATTGGTGAGTTTCTTTCACACATGAAATTGTTTTATTTTATTAGGAGTTCTTGTCACTCCAAAGAGAGGCAAGCAAACAAGGAAGGATCAACACATATACTTGGAGCAATCTCAATTCTCCAAGTGCCAGGACTTACATAGCCAAAATGGCAGCCAAAATGTAGCCATGGACAGTGAATGGTGTCCCGTTAGGGCAAATGGGGCACTGCCCTCCCAAATTCAGTCTGTTGTGGAAGCCACTGGGTATCAGCATACTTGGGGAAATCCCAAGGTTTGCAAAAAGCCAAAAAACCTAAAAGAGAGGTGAGGAGGAACAAACCTCATGCGTGGTGGAAGAGTCCCAAATAGCTCAGAGAAGACTGGTGTGCTCAGTGGCCATGAAATGCTGACCAAGAGAGGATAGGAGGGAAAAACTGGTAGTGGAATTTGAATAGGATGGAGTAGCTGAAACCCTGAAGCACTCCATTCTGCAGTAAGCGTCACTGAACACAGTCTTGAGGTAAATGATGCAGCAATACATAGTTAATTCACAGAGCCCAAAACATGGACCCAAAGTATCTTAAGGACCATCTGATAGTTTTCACTCCTCCTCAAATTACTGAGATCCTCTGATGGGGCACTGCTGGTGGTTCCCCATGCGTTCACTAGAGACCAAGTATTTCGTGGAGCAAGCCCTGCCCTGCGGAACTGCCTGCCACTGAAGGTTTGGCAGGCACTGTCCCTGCCTTTTTTCACATCTTCTGAAAATTGTTCAGATGGGTCTTCACAATCAGAATTTTAACCCACCAGTACCTGCTGATGATGTTTTATTGATATTTCTGCTTGGGTTTTATGGGAGTGGGTTTATTATGTTTTGTGTGCATTGAGCCTCCTTTAATATACTTTAGGAAAGTGAGGTTTATAAATATCTACATAAATAAACGCCTGGAACTAAGCAAGGCTGATGGGAGACTGCCTGAGAATCCTGTGTACCCCAACTTGATTCCACAAGTGAAGAAGATTGAGATTTAAATGTAATAAAGAGGTTAGAAAGTGGGGATAGTATTGCACTTCTAATTAGCAGTTGTTGGGACCTGACTCTAATGTAATGTAAGAATTGTATAGTTTTTACGTAGAGCTACTCCATGCTGCTGTTCTGTTGTTTTGTTTGACATTTGTTCCCTTGTCTTTCCCCCTTCAAGTGTCACATGGCCAAATTGTCCAGTTCAAGCTCTCTGATATTGGAGAAGGGATTACGGAGGTGACGGTGAAAGAATGGTAGGTTCACTCACTTTGTGCCACAGGGCTCCCTTCGCCTTGCAATTTCCTGACAAGTTGGAATAGGGTAGGAAAGGATGTTCGAGTTGTGTTAAGGCAGGAATCACATTGTGTCAAGAGGCCCCTCACAAAATACACATACAAAGAAAAGGACATTGATAGGCAGAGCACTCCAAAGCTTTCAGTCTGCAGGTTAAAGTTCGGCTCCTAGCCATCACTGTTGTCATCTGGCAAGGGTTGAGCCATATAGAGCAGAGGCCTATTTTCTGACAGTGACTGGCACATGACCCACTATGGGGAGAAATGGTCCCTCATATTTGAAGGCCACTAATTTCAAGAGTATAGCTTGAGGTTGCATTCTGCATGCATCCAACTAAAGAATAGTAAAGGTAAAGGGACCCCTGACCGTTAGGTCCAGTTGCGGACGACTCTGGGGTTGCGGCGCTCATCTCACTTTATTGGCCAAGGGAGCCGGCGTACAGCATGTGGCCAGCATGACTAAGCCGCTTCTGGTGAACCAGAGCAGCGCACAGAAACACCATGTACCTTCCCACCGGAGCGGTACCTATTTATCTACTTGCACTTTGATGTGCTTTCGAACTGCTAGGTAGGCAGGAGCAGGGACCGAGCAACAGGAGCTCACCCCGTTGCGGGGATTCTAACCGCCGACCTTCTGATCAGCAAGTCTTAGGCTCTGTGGTTTAACCCACAGTGCCACCTGCGTCCCTGACTAAAGAATACTTCCACATAATTTTGGAAATATCTTTCTGTATCCACGGAAGATAACAGTGAGACACGAGGAACAACCAATTGGCCAGAATTAGAGAAGGATGAGAAGGTGGACCTCAACCACGTCCTTGAACAAGCTCTTTCAACCAGAGGGTCTTTCCACACACTGTGCAGGAAACATAAAACTGTGTGTGCATTGGCAGTTTGAAGGGGGGGGGCTGAGCTATGCTAGGGGCCCCACATAAATCAAGGTTGCCACAGCAATCGGAGGGAAGGTGAGGAAAAGCAGCTCCTTTCCTGAAACATCAGCAAACCATGATTTTACTCAGTGCTGCCAACCCATTTCTGCCATATTTCCCATGGTTCTACCTGCAGCACCTATTTGGAGCACACCGTCTTATTGAAAGAATAGCATTAAAAAAGGATAGGTGCCAATTGTCCCATTGTTCTTTGATAACCCTCCGGCTTCTCTGCCATGTATGTTATGCAGGTCTTTCTTTTCTCTTAGGTATGTAAAAGAAGGCGATGTCGTCTCCCAGTTTGACAGCATCTGTGAAGTCCAAAGCGATAAAGCCTCTGTCACCATCACCAGCCGTTACGATGGCATCATTAGAAAACTCCATTACAACTTAGACGAAATTGCCCATGTGGGGAAACCGCTAGTGGATATAGAAACAGCTGCCTTGAAAGGTAACGTCAATGGATTTTGTCATTCTGTCAGGATGTCTGTATTGGTCTCATAGAATCAAATGTGAAAGAGGTAAATGGGGATTTAAAAAAAATAAAACCAGTTATTGTTTCCAAGTGCTTTGCAAGTTGCAGGAGGTTCTTCACTAGGCGGGGGGTGGGGGGAGTTTTACGCGCTTCTCAATTAATTTTAAGAGCCTGGTCACACAGTTACGTTACAAACAGAAGTCAGGATTCAGAGAACCATTTCAAGTGTGTACAAGGGCTTTGAGCAGCAGACTCGGGTTCTTATTTCTTGTTGCCATATGCAAGTCTTGGGCTTGCGTCTTCTCCCCTTCTTCCTCTTTTGCAGGCCAAAAGAGCAGGTTGGAAGCTTCTGCCTTGCATTTTATAGAAACCACTATGGCATCTGAAACCTGGGAAATTTTGGCCTGGTTAAATTCTGGTTGGTGAAAATAAGGCAGGATCAAACCATACTTTCAGGTCCTAGCTTGTTCTCAGAACCAAAAGCATAGTTCCCTCCATTTGTACATCACAGTGGTTTAAAATCAGAAGCATCCAATCTTGTCCTGCTGGCATGCAGAAGACGAGGAGAGGGGAGATAGGCGCACACAAGACTGCAGCTCCTTCTGAAAGTGGGAAACCCTGGATTCCTGTACCTACAAACCCAGTCCATGTCACAAACTGCTTTGGGATGTCTCAAAAGCCATTAGCTGTCTGCTTTGCTATGACTCACCAATTTCTGCAGAGCCACAAGCCTAAAGTCCCTTTGAATGCATGGAGCTAATTGTGTACAGGAGTACCTTGGGTTACATACGCTTCAGGTTACATCTGCTTCAGGTTATAGACTCCGCTAACCCAGAAATATTACCTCAGGTTAAGAACTTTGCTTCAGGATGAGAACAGAAATCGTGCTCCGATGAAGCGGCGGCAGCAGGAGGCCCCATTAGCTAAAGTGGTACCTCAGGTTAAGAACAGTTTCAGGTTAAGAACGGACCTCCGGAACGAATTAAGTACTTAACCCGAGGTACCACTGTATATCTTTGCACCCTGGCCAGAGACGAGGGCAGGCTGAGGGCAACTTGGAAGCGCCTCCCTTGGGGTGTTGTCCCACATCACTCCAGCCATGTGTGAAGGAAGGAACCACCATGCCGTAATCTAAACACGCGAACGGTTTCATCTCACACGTGCCAAAGCTTAAGCAAAATAAACTGGCAGCATTGTCACTGGGCCCACGTTCTCTTTTCCCTTGAAAGCCGCTTTCACTGCTGCCATTTAAAATTAACCCCTTTGTGTCCAACCTGCAGATGTCGCTCCCGAAGAGGACGTGGTCGAAACCCCTGCCGTGTCTCACGAAGAGCAGACCCACCAGGAGATCAAAGGCCACAAAACCTTGGCAACTCCTGCCGTCCGCCGCCTTGCCATGGAAAACAATGTGCGTTCCCTTTTCACTGAAGCGGGCTGCCTTGCGGTTGATCTCTTTTGCAAGGCCCGGTGTAATGCATTCGCAAGCTGTGCTAACGTAACGGCTAACGCGGCGATTGTGCTAATGTAAAGGCTGACCAGAAGGTTTGATGCTTCGTGTCAGGAGTAGGTAACTTCTTGGTGGCTGAAGGTGGTACATTGCCTTCCTGTATGTTAGTGCCCCACCTCCCATATTGTGGGCTGGGCATTACAGCAAGCTCCACCCACCACATGCTATATTATGTCAAACGCAGTGGAGAGGCTTGCTGGGGATTAATGTGGGCTGAGAGACTCCATGGAGCATGGAGAGGCTCTAAGGACTGCATTGCAACACTCGTAACTTGATGAAGTGGCTTGCATGGCTGGCGTCAGGAATTTTGAAGCCATTCACTTCTTGTGCGGAATACAGTGGTACCTCGCAAGACGAATGCCTCGCAAGACAAAAAACTCACTAGACGAAAGGGTTTTTTGAGCTGCTTCGCAAGATGATTTTCCCTATGGGCTTGCTTCGCAAGACGGAAACGTCTTGCAAGTTTGTTTCCTTTTTCTTAACACCATTAATACAGTTGCAACTTGACTTCGAGGAGCAGTTCATAGAATGCGGTGTGGTAGCCTTTTTTGAGGTTTTTAAAGACTTTGGTGATTTTTGAAACTTTTCCAAAACTTTCCCGACACCGTGCTTCGCAAGACGAAAAAAATCGCAAGACGGCAAAACTTGCGGAACGAATTAATTTCGTCTTGCGAGGCACCACTGTAGTTCCGTTAGAACACAAGAGTGTTCTGAGTCCCATGTCATCAGGAGAAACCCCTCATGCCGCTCCCACAATTGGGAGAACCTTGGAAGAAGCCCCGAAGCAGCCTGTCCATCCTTAAGGAGTTCCTGGAAACACAAACGGGGAGTTTGAAGTGTGAGGCAGGCCGCGTAGTCCCATCTGCTGTAGAATCAGACTTGGAAGGTGCCCACAGCCAGTACAGGAAATACAGGGACGCTGGTGGCGCTGTGGTCTAAACAGGGCTGTCTTAAGCATATGCGGCGCTGGGGTGCAAAGATCCGCCCAGTGCCCCCCCCCCCGGTTGCTCAGTCCCAGGCACGCAGGAGGGCAGAGCCGGCTGGGCACCTCAGCGTCTTGCTGGCTCGGTCACCCCGAACTTGCGGCACAGCAGAAAAGCCTGACATGGCGCTGCGCCTCCCCGCTGTCCCCGGAGCTTGTGGGGCTGGCAGCGGGGAGAAGCGCTCTTCTCCCCGCCGCCAGCCTTCAGACCAGGTCCGGGGAACTGAAGCCCGTGGCGCGCCCCGTGCTTCGGTCTGCAGGCTGCTGCCCGCAAGCCTTGCGAGCCCGCGGGAACTCCCAGCGGGCTTGCAAGGCTTGCGGATAGCTTCCTGATAGCTCTCCAGGCTTCAGCGAAAGCCTGCATTCACCCCATAGGACGCACACACATTTCCCCTTCATTTTTGGAGGGGAAAAAGTGCGTCCTATAGGGCGAAAAATACGGTAACTTGCCTGCCTTCTCTCGCATTTTCTTTTGCCATTTCAATAAAAACGATGCGTTTCCTCTACTCATGCCCTATATCCAGAATTCTTTAGCTTGTGCTCTTATCTTTCAGATTAAACTGAGTGAAGTTGTTGGAACAGGAAAAGATAACCGTATCCTCAAAGAAGACATTCTCAATTACTTGGCCAAACAGACGGGAGCTATTTTACCTCTATCGCCAAAACCTGAAATTGTCGCGCCGCCGCCAACACCGAAGCCTGCAGCAGATAAGCCAAAGACGCCAAGAATCCCTTTGCCCATTTCCAAACCTGTCGTAATTTCACAGAAAGATAAAACAGTGGCCGTTTCAGGTAAATACATTAATGAAACCTCCTGAGGATCTAATATAGAGCAGCATGTGTAAAATATTTGTAAAGGGCAACTGAACAAGTAAAACATGAATATTTGTTTCTTCATTCATAGCGAAGCACACTGCTGGTGTTTTTCCACTTGTAATGCCAGTAGGATGTTGAGGAATGTGCTGCAATTTTTTGTTACAATTAGAGATGAATCCAGGAAAATGGCAATGCAGAATTTTTGAGAGAGCTCATTCAGGCACTGATACTTAGGGAAGCTTCCAAAGACTGGCAGGTCTGCTCCCCGCTCCCATCTATTCTCATATTAATCAGGAATCACCAGATTATCTTCCTGACTCCTGGAAAATTAATCCAGACACAGTCTTGGTAAGACTTTTAAGCCTTGGCATTCAGTGACATCACCATGCAACAGGGCAGGGGAGAACAACACCCTGTTGTGGTGCAGTGCCAACATAGTGTATTTTCTGGTTACCCTGGTACTCTGGGTAACCAAACCATAGATATGGCCACGCGTCCTTCTCAAAATGTCTCCCACCCAGGCATCGATAAAGTCTGCACCCACTTAGCCTCAACAGTACAACAGCCTTGGATGCTGTAATCTGTTCATTGGGCAAATACATTCTTACTGTACTGCAGTCTTCTGCAAATAAATAAGAAGGTATTTTCTCATATGGTTCCCCCCCCAGAGTTTCTCCTATGGCTTACTGTAGTCCCATCTGCAATATTTAGCCTTTTTAATAGTTTTGATAGGATGCGGGTGGCGCTGTTGGTTAAACCACAGAGCCTAGGACTTGCCAATCAGAAGGTCGGTGGTTCGAATCCCTGCGACGGGACGAGCTCTCGTTGCTCGGTCCCTGCTCCTGCCAACCTAGCAGTTCGAAAGCACGCCAGTGCAAGTAGATAAATAGGTACCGCTCTGGCGGGAAAGTAAATGGCATTTCCGTTAGCTGCTCTGGTTCACCAGAAGCGGCTTAGTCATGCTGGCCACATGCTGTACGCTGGCTCCCTCGGCCAGTAAAGTGAGATGAGCGCCGCAACCCCAGAGTCGGCCACGACTGGACCTAATGGTCAGGGATCCCTTTACCCTTTAACTTTAATAGTTTTGATGCCTATGTCTGAGGTTGTCATCATCGTCAGTTAAGTGGCATATAAAGGTAAAGGTAAAGGTACCCCTGCCCGTACGGGCCAGTCTTGACAGACTCTGGGGTTGTGCGCCCATCTCACTCAAGAGGCCGGGGGCCAGCGCTGTCCGGAGACACTTCCAGGTCACGTGGCCAGCGTGACAAAGCTGCATCTGGCGAGCCAGCGCAGCACACGGAAACGCCGTTTACCTTCCCGCTAGTAAGCGGTCCCTATTTGTCTACTTGCACCCAGGGGTGCTTTCGAACTGCTAGGTTGGCAGGCGCTGGGACCGAGCAACGGGAGCGCACCCCGCCGCGGGGATTCGAACCACCGACCTTTCGATCGGCAAGCCCTAGGCGCTGAGGCTTTTACCCACAGCGCCACCCGCGTCCCCTTAAGTGGCATATAAATTTTGTTAAATAAATTTGAAGGAAGATGGAAAGCAAGGCAGGAAACCGGGACATAACCAGGCATCATTTTTCTTCTTCTCCCCCTTATTTCCAGGATTCCAGAAGGTCATGGTGAAAACCATGTCTGCAGCGCTGAAAATTCCTCACTTCGGTTATTGCGACGAGATTGATCTCACGCAACTTGTCCGGCTGAGAGAGGAGCTGAAACCTGTAGCGCTCGAACGTGGAATTAAGCTCACCTTCATGCCTTTCTTTTTAAAGGTGAGGCGGAACCAGCAGGCCTTGCTAATGTGCAAAACGAGAGGGGTTTGTAAGAAGCTCAAGCTGTCCGTACAGTAGTTTTGATAAGATGCAAATGCATCAAATTGTAATACGTTTCAAGGGAGATAATTAATGTATATGTCCTGGTGATTTTTGTGGACAGTCAGTACAGAAATCTATATAATAAATAATAAGAGTCTTTTAACTGGTAGACAGCACTCCTTCTTACAGGCTGTTACACTCACAACATATTTAGTTTTGCACGTATGTTTGGCTGCAACAATAGATTGACCTTTTTCAAAAAAATATTTTGAAAAGTATGAGGCGTAGTCATGGTCCTCTTTCAAAATGCAATTCTTTGGGTGGGGGTGTATCAGGAGTTGTTGTTGTTTTATATCCCACCCTTCATCAAAAGATCTCAGGATGGTTCACAATAATGTTGTAATTAACAAAAAGGATCTTCCATCCAATAATTTTTTCCATTGAATACCAGAAATTACTTACTCTGACTGGAGACATTTCCACTGAAATGCTAGATAAAGAAAAGCTGATGGGCTTCTAAGCACATTTATTTAAATGAGAGGTGTGATTGTGTGTGTGTGTGTGTGTGTGTGTGTGTGTGGTGGAATCCAGCTTACAGAAGGGCATTTGATCCAGCAGAGGCATTTGCTATTGGAAGAAGAAGGGAAGACGATATCTGCCCATTCCCTCTTCCCCCATCAGCTCCAGTGAGTTGGGGGACATGCCGGAACAGGGCGGAAGTGAGAAAGGAGAATTGGCAAAAAAATAAAATCCCCTCCTCTTGCATTAATAGGCACCTCTGCTCAATCAGAAGCCCTTGGGAGCATAGGATCTGCTTTAAACTGAGTCAGACCATTGGTCCACCTTGCTCAGTAAAGTCTTCACCGATGGGCAGTGTCTCTCCAGGGTTTTGGACAGGTATCTCTTACAGGTTTACCTGGAGATCCTGGAGCTTTCTGCATGAAAAACGGATGCTCTACCACTATTTCCCTATGTACACGTATGCAGAAGCTATGTTGCACAGTTTCTGAAGCATGCAGCCTGTTGGCTCTGGCTGCTAGAATAATCACATTTGTCTTTCTTAAAAAATATTTAACAGGCCGCTTCTTTAGCCTTATTACATTATCCGATCCTCAACGCTTCACTGGATGAAAACTGCCAAAACATCACTTACAAGGTTTGTATATTGACATTCCTGTCACATTCTTAAGGGAGATCTAGCTCTGTTTTATGATGATTAGATACGGGGAGGGGGTGTTAGGGGAGGGGTAGTACCTCTGGTGGGGGACATTTTGTTCTCCTTGTGGGACAGTTTGTCCACCTTGGGTTGGTCCCCCCCCCACACACACACTCACTTGGCTCTCACCTTTGGCTCCTCAAAGTTGTCAGCATGTGATAGTAGCCACACCCTGGGAATGGCTTTGACTGGCTGGCTAAACCAGGTGAGGGGAGCCAATAGGCCTCAGACTCTTGGGGTTAAAGACTTCCCCTGCATGAAAAGACAGGCCCAGTGGATTGAGCGGACGAGACCAATAGGGGACAAGAAGACAGTTTCTGCATGGGGGGCAAATGGGGCTCATCAACCTAGAAAGGGAGCCCATTGAGGAGGGGAGAGACTCCATCAGGCAAGGCCTCCTTCCACCTGCCTTGCCCCACCCTCTGCTTCTCAGTGTGTATTGTATTATTTTATGTACTGTGTCTTGCCCTTGTTTTATTGATTATAGTTTAGATATTATTGTAACTGTTGAGTGGATTTCTGTTTAACTTTTATATGTTGATATTATTATTTTATACTATTCTAATTGACTGTTGAATGTTACTTTTTTGATGTAGGCTGCCTATTTTAAAGTTATGTTTTATTATCACATTTTTGTATTGCATTAGATTGTTATAAGATGTACATTTTTTGTTTCTTCAACTTGTAAACCGCCTTGAGTATTGTAAGATAGAAAGGCGGTATACAAATTTAAAATGATGATGGTGATGATTATGATGAAGGAAAACTCTGGTCCTAAACCTCCACTGCCTTGGGGGATATCTTCAGGAGAAGAAAAGGCTAAGGAGTAAACCCAACACAAATCTGGAATAGAGTCCCTAAGGTGGTTGGATGGCGTCTTGGACGCCTCCTTTTGGCAACCCCTGCAGCCAAGCTGGTGCCAAACGTATTGCTTTGGACTGCCATCAGTGAGGCAACAACATCTTCTTGTCTGAGCAGCCCAGGACCTCCATCCACACTAGCCAGGCTTGCATCCCATGGAGGTCACTTGGGTGCTGTTAACACAGTGGTTTGACTTCACCTGTGGAGGCGCACTCCATTGTCTCTTGAGACTGATGCCAACAAGATACGGGAAATTATAGTTTGTACTGCAAGCAAGCATGGTGCTTATGGGAGTACGTCAACAGCACCTTGCACCTTGCATGGTTTCATTTTTGTTTTGTTTCTTAAAAATAAAGTCCTGTATTTTATCCCAGTGTTACATCTCTCAGGAGTTCAGAGCAGCGTACCTGGTTCCCCCCAACCCCATCTTATCCTCAACACCCCTGCAGGTCAGCCTGAGGGAGAGAACAATTCACCCAAGATCACACTTTGAACTTTTGCTTGTAGACTTGGAATTTGAACCCGTGTCTTTCTGGCTCAGTTGACAGTACTGGCTGCATCTAGCATTGCATGAATTTGCATGAAGTCCAGTTGTGGAGCAGGAAAGGGAGAATATATTGGTCATGCCTTCTTACATCTTGAAGAGAAATTCTGTTTGGTCCAAATCAAAGATGAATATTTTTTATATATTCATTCATTCATTCATTCATTCATTCATTCTAGGCTTCTCACAACATTGGAGTTGCTATGGATACAGGGCAAGGCCTAGTTGTCCCTAATGTGAAGAATGTCCAGGCCTGCAGTGTATATGAGGTTGCTTCAGAATTAAATCGCCTTCAGAGCCTGGGGTTTGCGAATCAGCTGGGAACAAGCGACCTCACCGGGGGAACATTCACACTCTCCAACATTGGCACAGTGAGTTTGAACAGCCTTTTAAAATCCAACTCTAGAAACATATCTAGCCATATTGTTTTAAATACAACCAGGCCACAAACTATTACCCCATGGGGGAGGGAGAAACTGGTCTAGCTTTGGGGACTAAGCCCCTGGGAGGACAGGGGGTTAGATGAATGAATATTCAGTTATGTAAATACCCTACTTTTAAGCTGAAAAAGGCTCCCACAGATAGATAATAATATCAGGCTAGCAACTCCCATCATCCTTGGCCCATTGGCCATGCTTAGGGCTGAGGGGAGCTGGAATCCCAACAATATCTGGGAGGGATTGGATTCCCCGTGCCCAGCTTAGATGATACCCACCACTGCCAAAGTAGATAGTCCTGTTGGACTTCATAACAGGGCAGTGGAGCCTGATGGTCTCTGTGGTGGGTGGAGGAGGGGTGGCGAAAACAGCTACAAATGGAGATGGCGAAGGTCTCCGTTGACCTTGCAGTCTGCTGTTGCTTCTCTTCCTCGCAGGACGTTTGGAATATGAGAGAGTGATATGGGCCCCCCCATGAAGAGTAATGGTGTTATGTACAGTGGTACCCCGGGTTACATACGCTTCAGTTTACAGACTCCGCTAACCCAGAAATATTACCTCGGGTTAAGAACTTTGCTTCAGGATGAGAACAGAAATCGTGCTCTGGCGGTGCAGCGGCAGCAGGAGGCCCCATTAGCTAAAGTGGTGCTTCAGGTTAAGAACAGTTTCAGGTTAAGAACGGACCTCCAGAACGAATTAAGTTCTTAACCCGAGGTACCACTGTACATGCGAGCACACATAGCAAACAACTCATCATGCACAGCTTCACCCATGGGCTGGGAGGGGGGGAATTGTTTCCCCCAGATTAAAGATCACCCAATACAGATGTCATCAGAAAAAATGCTTGTTTATTTTATTTATTTTATTTTCCAGATTGGCGGTACCTATGCAAAACCCGTAATTCTTCCTCCTGAAGTAGCTATTGGCGCTCTGGGGAAAATACAAGTATGTTGATTCTGAGTTATAAATCTACAATTTCAGTATTGATTCAGTATTGATCACTCCCATACGTTTTTGAATGCATTGTTACGACCAGTGTGCTTTTTTTCTGGGGGGGATGCAGGGGTAAATCTTAAGTTTGGCCTCATTGAGGGGCAGTATTTCAATATGAGGAGGAAAATGAGAGTACCCCTAAACATTTTTTTAGGATAAAAGCACTGGTCATGACGCCCTGCAAGTGTTTGTTGGTTTTCACATAGGGGCAGTGAAAACTCAAACAGAGTGTTCTGATTGTGAGGAGTGGCCAGATTTTGAACCAGTCTTGCTGCTGTTTCACAAAGGTGCATTGTCCTGCTGCAGTCACCATGAAGAGTCAGGGCTGTGGATGAGCACTTTCTCCACAAAGCCCCACAGTAGGGGATGGGTTTGGATTGCTCAATAAGCCTACAGCCCCAAACATATTTCCTAAGGCGTAAGCCCCATAGTGGGAATTGGTTTTGAGAAAATATGCACAGGATTGTTCTGTAAAAGTAACTTGAAATACGAGCATTTTCCTCAATTGCAGATTTGCTGTCTGCTCAGTTGAGGCCTTTAGAGAGAGAGAAATCACACAACTGACTGTTTTCTGAGTCATTCTATCAGTTTTGTGAGGCAAGCTTTCAGAGTCAAGAGGGGAAACACTCTCATCTAATTTCAGGGCCTCTTGCGTATCCAGGGCAATAGCCAAAGGTGTTAGAGAGTTCTGATGTATTAATAATACTTCATTAGTATTCTCTCCTTTTCTTCCTGGATTTTTAGGGCCTTCCTCGGTTTAATGCGAAAGGTGAAATATTTAAAGCACAGATAATGAATGTGAGCTGGTCGGCCGATCACAGAATTATCGACGGCGCAACCATGTCCCGTTTTTCCAACTTGTGGAAATCTTACTTGGAGAACCCTGCTTTCATGCTTCTGGATCTAAAATAAAGAGGACTAATGCATGGATGCATCGTTTAAATTTTGAAACTGCTATCAAGCTAGCTATGCTAGCAAGTGTCCTTAAATACTACATTTCACAATTCAGTGTGTGAATTGTGTGATCACTTACAAGGTGTGATCAATAGGCCTTTCTGATCACTGGTCAGTGTACTGATTAGCTGTTACATTTTGTCGGGCTGAGTAGGTTAGTTTGTAAATTGTTAGGCTAGAGACTGTCATACTAGACTGTCATACTTTGGCTCTTTGGTGCGGCAATGAGAAATCTATGTTGATAACAGGCCGTATTCCACTACACTGACATTGCCAGATGAAGGTTACTATCATTTATTTTTTAACTGCTTCTGCTGTTGGTAGATTAATTTTTTCTCAGAATTTGATTGGAAACAGGGTTTTCTCTTTCACAAAATAAAAGGGATGTTACCAAGTTTCTGATGCAAGAAACGCACAAATCATGTTCAAATAAAATGCTTTTATTGCTTATTTTATTAAATACACAGGGATGGCCTTTCATTGGTTATTGATGCTAACATTTCTTTTCCAAACGTCCTTTCTGCCTAAATTAATTTCTGTAATATGTGAAGCAACTGTCGGCAAATGGGAATATGTCCAATAGGAGTAAAGTTTGAAGCTCATAACAGGGCACAGCTTAGCTAAGGAGCCATAAATGAAACTCATACAAAATGGAGGTTCTTCAGAATCCCAAGTACGTTGACTTTGGACAGTTATTGGTGCTCCGTATCAAGATGGTATGGATAGGTATTTTGTGTGAAATCTAATGAATGTAACAGAGGTGCCCAAAGGATAGTTTGCACAATACATTTGTTTATTTCGCTGTCTCCCGCATGCTGCTGTGGACCTGGGGCACAGACTCCTGGGGGTCCAGCCCTTTTGGGACCCCCCCCCAATATTTTGGGGGGCCCAATGTCCAGAAAACAGGAGGAGGTTGAGCGCGGTGCAGCTTCCATAGCCAGTTCCTCCTCCTCTTCCTGCTGCGGAGGGGAAGGAGGGTCCAAACAGCCCCCTGCCATTGGCAGCGGGAGAAGGAGGAGGAGCCATTGGCTCTTGAAGCCATGTGGCTGCCATGTCCTACTCTGCCCTGGCTCCTCCAGATGCTCTGACATCATGTGTGACATCAGCCCATCACCCTCGCAAGCTGGCACCTCTGGTGTGGACACATGTAATTTATGAAGCAAGCAACCACAGATAGACATAGCTGACATCACTTCCTGTGATCAGTGAGGCACATTTTGAGCCAGCACAATAATAAAAATTGCCAATGGCCAATTCCTGCGTTAGGTTTCTCCACATGGGTGCATGCCTGGGTTTGGAAAGGAGGCTGTTAAGTAGGAAGTAAAGGCATACAGCAGAAAGGTGTTTGCCCATTCACATGAAATGAATACTTTGAAGAGACGCTGGGTTCAAGTGGTTTCATCTGAGGATTTTCCACAGCGTCACTGGAGTTCACGATCCCTTTTTCTGCACGTGCATTTAGAGCCGAAGAATGGTATCCAGTTAAGTCACTGTGTGCACAGGAATTGCCCCTCAAACCATCCCCCAAATCTGCTCAGAAGGCTATTCCAACTCTATTGTGCAATTGTGGACTGCACTTCAGAACAGCAAAAACCTGAGATGCAAGCAGAAAGGGGTTTGAAACAAGCAATACACAAATGCACAACTGTTTAGGGAGATTTAAAGTGACCTTAAAAGTGAGCGTGCTGGATTAAAGGCTGTACGTGACAGAAACTAAAAGGCACTTTAAAGAAAGAAAATAAAATAAGCTTCTAAAAATCATACGAGAAATGATCATACGCTCAAGATGCTTGACAGAAGCTTAGTATTGCACGCATAGCGTATTTTCAAACAATATTGTACTGTATCCTCATTGTGAAAGTTATTTGGTTAAACATCCCTACAAACTCCTAAATCGTATATGTTTATTTTTTAATAAAAAAACACTCCTCTTGTCATCTGTGAGAAGAAAGTTGAGGTGAAATATCTGAGATTTAGAGACCTAAAGATGTGAAATAATACTCAAGTCTCATATAGATCTGTGAGGAATTTTGTATTCACTTTTGCCGATTAAAAAACAATTACTATATACTGTCTTAACATTTCTTTTAAATTGTTTTCTATTCTTGAATAAATCTTTTATTACAACCTTTGTGATTTGAGACTTTTATCTGAGGGTATTTTGGGGCTTTAAATCCACCAAGAACATAAATCCACATACCGGGACAAAGTCCCGAATACACACCATTTGTCTCGTCACATGAAAGCAACCGATTGAGGTCATCTGCAGAAACTTGTTTCTTTAAAGATTTTCCGTAGTGCCAACAGCATTCAGCCTCCTTTTTACCTGCGTGCTGACACATAGACTGGATTGAAAAGTGGATGTAAATTCAGATCCCACAGGGAAAGTGGCTATGCGGCAAGATCAAGCTACAAGAAGAAATGAACAGTAATGGGTGGGAATATCAGAAGTAGGGGAAGGCCAAGAGACTTTGCAAGAATCTGGCTGGGCGATGCCAATTTTTCTGTTTCCCTCCTCACTTCCTTTCACCGAAGCAAATTATCATCATGTTTACAACAGCCAGTGGTGGATTTACATATAAGCCAAATAACCTATAGCTTAGGGCCCCACTCTCTTGCCCCCCCAAAAAATTATGAGTCTTTGTAAATTATGTTTCTAAAGGAACTTTTGTTATTGCCAAATGCCAATGTGTTTGCATTATTAAGTTTGTTATGAATAAAAAATCATTTTAAGTTGGAGCTTAATGATATTTCACTATTAATATACTTCTTAATTGCATTTCACTATTAATATACTTCTTAATCGTATTTCAGTTCAACAATTACTCTGATAAAATGCATATTTTGTTATTTGCAAATGGCTTTAGATACCTATTAGGTCCATAAATTCCCATATAGCATATATTCAACACAAAAAAACAGCGGCAAATTGTTGTTGACAAAGGACAGCTGGACATATAAAAGGTAAAGGTACCCCTGCCTGTACGGGCCAGTCGTGACCGACTCTAGGGTTGTGCGCTCATCTCACTCAAGAGGCCGGGAGCCGGCGCCGTCCGAAGACACTTCTGGGTCACATGGCCAGCGTGACGAAGCTGCACTGGTGAGCCAGCACCAGTGCCACACATGGAAACGCCGTTTACCTTCCCGCTATAAAGCGGTACCTATTTATCTACTTGCACGTAGGGGTGCTTTCGAACTGCTAGGTGGGCAGGAGCTGGGACCGAACGACGGGAGCTCACCCTGCCGCGGGGATTCGAAACGCCGACCTTACGATCAGCAAGTCCTAGGCACTGAGGTTTTACCCACAGCGCCACCCGCGTCCCAGCTGGACATATAAAGGGCCCCATTACCTTCAGTAGCTTAGGGCCTCATCAAACCTAAATCCGGCCCTGACAACAGCGATCCTTTTTAAAAACAGAAATCCTGGGGTTTGGGCTATTTTTTTTCCTCTTTAAACTTTCAAGTCACATTTATACCCTGCCTTTCTTCCATTCTGGAAGCGACAACAGGAGAAGAAGACCAGTTGACTGACGGGTCACTTCTAATTTTTTACCTGTGCATTTCAGTCCCAGTACTTAGGACAGAGAGCAAAACTTAGATCTCTAAGCTTAAGGAACTTTCCCTCGTTGTGGAGGGAGAAGAGAGACCTCCTTTGTGACTGCCAGCCCTGGCTGGTAAAAAGTGCCCCCCTTATTGTTCTTCTCATCCCAGAGTCACCTTTAAAGATGCTGAGTACATAAACCTCTGGATTTATTTGCAATTTTGCAGGATCACCTCTCATGCTCACAGAACTGCCCACGGTACACTAGGGAAGATTAAGTGATTACTTCATTCATCCAAAAACTATACTGTAATGTCTACCCTTGTCTCTGCAGCTATCCTTCTGAAATTTGGCAGGGTTCATGCTCTCTGGAGGGGTGACCTTGCTCCAATTCTGGCCAAAGATAAGAAATAGAAGGCGGATTGAGAGAGAGAAGTTACTGCCAGGAACTTTACCATAAACTGCTTGAGCATTTCTGGCTGTTCCCCATTATTGTTTACTAAAAAAATAGCTGCTGTTATATACTCAAATTGTCAGTTCTTCTATCCAAGATTCCTCATGGATTTAGATTCGTGTCACCAATCATAATCAGAGCTGTATTATAGTAGCAATATAGTAGAACTCTCTTTTTGTACAAAGCAGCTGAGTTTTCTTTGACTCGTAGGAACACGACGACGAGTTCTGAAAAGCGGAAAGGGATTCAAAATTGGGGAAATACTTCAGAGGGCTGTGACACCTGGTCACAGCAATACTTACTATTCCCGGCCAGCGTCGTGGGTTAAAATTAGAACTCGTCAGGCGTTGCATTTCACTCTTCCATAGTTGGTACAAAGGTTGTAAATGGCTTTAGCAAAGCATTCAGGGTTTGCAGCCGACTTCTGTTGTCGCACAGGAATCGGGGAGTCATGGAAAACCAGGAAATAATTGAGGTAAGCCATTACAAAATGCTTCCATTAAAACGCCTGAGGTGAATGCATTACCAATGGATTTGTTGATCTGTTTGCTTTGTGGCTAAAAATGGGAGCAGGCTTTTGCAGCGGCTTGTGATCGCTGAGCAATTGTGAGATTGGCTTTGTCCAAAATAAATAAATAACATGCCTCTCCTCTTTTTGTCTGCTTGACTACATAGGCCTGCAAAGGAGGCTGTGATCATTTTAGGCTGTGGAACCCTCTCACTTTCATTGTAAATTTTTTATTATTATTATTACTGAAAGTTAGCAAGGATCAACAATTCTTGACACTGAAGGTCTCGCCAGGTTTTCCTCTTTTATGTGTGACGCCCCTGTATGCGCCGGTGATGCAGAAAAATGAAACCAGACACTGAACCGGGAGATGGAAGGGCCATGACTGAAACGTCAGTTTGTGTCGGCACGTTTACAGCTGTTAAGGCACTTTGGGAAGTCAGGATCCAGAAAATAAGCGAAGAGCTTCGAAAGCAAAAGGCATTCAGTCAGAGGTCTGCAGAGAGGTAGGTTGTCAATACGACTTGAGTTTTCCCCAAAAACAATTTAGAAATTGATTTCCTAGCTTCATTGGGAGCAACATATTAAGTTGAACTATCTCCTTTGAAGGCCTGATCTGCTGGTTTATTTAGGGTATTTATGAATACCCTGATACTCCAAAGGAGCTCATGGCAATAGACAGCAAGCACAAAGCAAAAAGCACCAAACATCAATCAAAACGTGTATGAGCTAAAAATTAAATTTCAAAAACAATGGAACACCGACTCATATTGCTTCTGAGGATTAAGCATCTTGTTATCAAACTGTAATACTTTAGGTAATTCAAAATATCTTCGGTTGATGTCTGAAAACTAATAATATGGAAGACAGAGAGCCAGGGCCTCATCACAGAAAAAGCCCTTCTATATATTAAATATGTTACAACCTTTTTCTAGGCTGACACTTGTTTGGGAAGAGAGAGTCAGTTTGGCCAAGCTCAAGGAAAAAGTTATCACAGAAGATGGAAGGGCTGTTTTAAAGATTGAACAAGAAGAATGGAAGGTATTGTTTGCGTGGTGCTGCTAACAAAACATTTCACATTGTTATCCCGGCTTCAGTGCTCCACTTCATCAGTTTAATCCAAGCTGTGCCAGTATTTGATGGACTACAACTCCCATCATCCCTGACATTCATCCATGCTGGATGAGCCTGATGGGAATTGTAGCCCAAAACATCTAGAGGGTGCCATGTTGGGTAAAACTGATTTATTCTATTGTTATATGCTCCTGTCTTTGAGGAGAAGAGCTCCAGGGACAATGCTACAAAGGCTTCCTTTATTTTGGATTAGTGTGCATGCTTAGAGATGTGTGTCTCTATAATATCATTTTTTTAAATACAGAAGCACAGCACATTAGAAATACACAGGCTTCCAAAAGTAGGAAGCACAGTCACTAATCCTGCATCAGATTCCCACAGCAACAGCGCTGAGCTCCCCGCAGCTCCCTAACCCAGCTTCCAGTTTCATTCTCTCTCCATCAGATGCTCTCGAGCTGCAGATTGCTTCTAATGGTCTCTCTGTCCTATTCTGCAGTGAATGCTGACTTCAGCCAAGCAGAGGAGTACCCTAGACAGCTCCATGCTAGGTTCAGGTTGAAGACTTCATGAGAGCAGAGCTCTGATGTTGCTTCAGCGACAGTCGCCCTCAGCCTGGAATAGGAGCCGCCGCTCTGTTTCAATAGCTAGTCTCATCTTTGGTGTGAGGAATACTTTCCTCTCAGCCTGCTTCAGCAGTCATTGAGTCCAATGGGATGGGTGAGACGGGTTGCAGTTGGGCTTCTAAGCTGGAGTCTCTTGAGCCAGAGGAAAGTGACAATCAGAATCACAACACCTTCCCCAAAACCTGATGGGTGAGACAGCCCAAGAGCAAGAGGGAGAGAGATTAAGCCATCAAATAACAATTCTTTCCTTTCGTTAAGCCACTGGTTGCCCATTATTTGCTGGACTCATAACAATATGCTATGTGGTTTTAGATTCTGATTTTGTTCTGTGAGCTGCCCTGAGACCTATAGGTAAAGGTAAAGGGACCCCTGACCATTAGGTCCAGTCATGACCGACTCGGGGGTTGCGGCACTCATCTCGCTTTATTGGCTGAGGGAGCCAGCGTGCAACTTCCGGGTCATGTGGCCAGCATGACTAAGCCGCTTCTGGCGAACCAGAGCAGCACACGGAAACGCCATTTACCTTTCCGCTGGAGCGGTACCTATTTATCTACTTGCACTTTGACGTGCTTTTGAACTGTTAGGTTGGCAGAAGCAGGGACCGAGCAACAGGAGTTCAGCCCGTTGCGGGGATTCGAACTGCCGACCTTCCGATCAGCAAGTCCTAGGTGCTGTGGTTTAACCCACAGCACCACCTGCGTCCATCCTGAGACCTATAGGGCGGCATATAAATTCAATAAATAAAATAAATAAATATAGCAAACGATGTACAATGACTACAAATGTAGTTATTATACAGAGAGCGGTGGGTAATGAGGGTTTGGGTTGAAGTTGAGCTGTCTGGCATTTTATAGACTTTAATATACAGTATTGAAATCCGGTCTATGTTAGCATACTGAATGATTACCATTTTTATTCCTCCTGCCACCCCAAATCTTGGAAATTGTAAACAGTGTTTTTACCTATAATCTTTGTACCGGATTATTGAAGGTGTCCAAACTACATAGGCATAAACAAAAATCTCTTAGTAGCCATTCATTTGCTATATATGTTCTGCATTGGTTCCTGGTCTTTTTTTGGCACCAAACTGATTGGATTATTGTCATTGTTCATCTGGCATAATAAATGACATCTCCCTCTTGTTTCGTCTCATGCAAATTTAGACTCTGCCTTCTTGCTTACTGAAACTGAACCACCTCCAGGAATGGCAACTTCACAGAACTGGTCTGGTTAAAATCCCTCAATTCATCGGTCGCTTTCAGAGTCTCATTGTTCTAGATCTGTCTCGAAATTCCATTGCAGAAATTCCTAGGGAAATTGGTGAGTTGAACCATGAAACCTTGTAGTTGCTTCTGAGTCAGGAATGCAGGAATTTGCACAGCAACATTTATCCCGTCGAAAAGAATGCAGTGGTACCTTGGGTTAAGAACTTAATTCGTTCTGGAGGTCCGTTCTTAACCTGAGGTGCCACTTTAGCCAATGGGGCCTCCTGCCGCCTCCCGGCAATTTCTGTTCTCATCCTGAAGCAAAGTTCTTAACCCAAGGAACTATTTCTGGGTTAGCGGAGTCTGTAACCTGAAGCGTCTGTAACCCGAGGTACTACTGTTTGCTTAAAATGCACCGTCTGTTGATTTTTGCTGAAACGTAAATAATTCTGAGGTTGCTTGAAATATAAAGTGGTATACAAGTCAGATAAAGTAATAATAAATTGGGATTCCTGTTGAAATAGCTTCCTACAGAGAGGGCCTTCCTGTATGGTCTCTGTGGAGGTGGACCCAGCTTAACACTTCCACAGTCTTGAAGATAAAATTGAGAGAGCCTTCAAAATCTATCAGAGATGGCCCCTCCAAAGCATCCACCTTCTTGATGTCTTCATCTGGGTTTTTTCCAGAGAATGCTATTGTTGTATGTGTGGAGGAAAACCTTAAAACAGGGGTGCCCAAACTTTTTTCAAAGAGGGCCAGATTTGATGAAGTGAACTTGTGTGAGGGCCGACCAAAGTTGTTCAGCTTTTTTTACAATTTTACCCCCAAAGTTATTGAGGTTTTTTTGGGATTGAGGTTCCTGAGGTTTTTTAAGATTTTACCCCAGGACAGATACTGCCATGGGGGCTGGATTAAATTGACTGGTGGGTTGAATTAGGCCCCCGAAACAGACTTTGGACATGCCTGCCTTAAAACATGTAGCAGAATTTCCCAAAAAAACCCAGACCAGAGGCAATAGTACTTCATCCAGCAGAGTTTTACTTGTGCTGAAGGCAAATGAGCAGAATGGTCACAAATCCAGTACATTCAGGATTGGCACTGTCCATAAGAAATCCAGTTGCAGCGCTTACAAAAGCTTATAAACTTAACTCATAATAAACCTTAGCACTAAGCATACTATGTACAGAACACCACACCAGAAGGAAGAGAGATAGAGAAATAAAGTAAAACCCAGGCTCCTTCTGGCCTATATTTATAGTCAGCTTGACCTTAATTGGAAGAGATAAGAGAATCAGTTCAAACCAGCTTCCCAGAACGTGTAACCCAAACAACATTAAGCTTCTTTCATACAGAGAAGCTTCCAGAACCCTCTTGAATGAATTAGAATAGGGAAGATATCTACACATCAGATCAATACTTTCTGCACTAAGAAATGCAAACTGAGAGCTATTTGTTGGAAAATAAGCTTTTAACAAGTGAACATTATCACCCATTTTTGTTTCATTCGTAACTTTTGCAGGCCAGTTGTCAAATCTCCAAGAGCTGATCCTCAGTTACAATAAAATTAAATCTGTTCCTAAAGAGCTAAGCAACTGTGTCAGCTTAGAAAGACTGGAGCTGGCAGTGAACAGAGACATCTGTGACCTTCCCCATCAGGTTTGGAAAGACCATATTCTCTCTTGTTTCTTTGATCCCAAGGGGGACAAGGGACTTGCTTACGATTACCATTTTATACCAGTGTAACCAATGTGGAATCTATTCCTTCACCATGTGCCAACTTAGCCCTTCCTTTCCCTTGCAACCAGGTGGCACCAACATGGAGACACCACTTGTGAGAGTGGATTTAATGTAACTGTCACAGTTCACCCAATTGCGGAAGCCTTTTAATGGTCAAAATTGCAGTAGCTGCATGTACAGCGCTATGTGGGTATGCCAGTTCTCATAAAGACACTACTGCACAATAGTTAGCTCAACGACAGATCCCAAAGATCTGGTGCGAGGGCTGCCATTTTGAGCTATCCCCTAGTATCACATTCCATTGTACAATTAGGGCTGTTGACTGATTAAAGGAATATCGGTTGATTAACTGATTTACCATTGGTTAACTGCATGCATCACCACGTAGAACAATAGTTCTGAAGGAGAAACAAAATTTTAAAAGATGATGCATGCATGTTCCACAGTAGAAAGAGATTTTCCTTTTGTATTTGTGAGAAGGTGGGAAGCCTGTTATAAGATGGCATAGGACACAACAGCACGAGCCTATGCACGTTTACTCGGGAGTAAGCCCCACTGTGTTGAATGGAGATTCTTCCTTAGTAAGCATGCTTAGGACAGTATCCTAAATGTTGCAGCCAAAGTGGTTCAAGGGGGCAGTGCTAATGATTTGTTTATTATCTTTAATGGTTCTAGGGGTTGCTCGTGTGTAAGCCTGTGCCAACACCTGGGTGGGTTGCCAAAGTGAACCTTTTCTGTCCGGACAGCCACTCACCCGTGGCTGTCTCAATCGCTGGCAGAATCCGTCAGTGGGCGTTTCTTAAACTTCTTCCAGCAAAGAAGCTCTTTGACGCCCAGTCTCCTCCTACTCTCCCTGCGCGGAAGCCTTCTGCGCAAGGAGGGCGTAGGCGGCGGCGGACCCTTCCTCTCCCCGCTGGTCCCCGGCAAGGAGTCATGTGACCGCCTCGCTGATTCCCCCATCTGCCCCCCTTCTCCACTGGAGCTATGCTGATTCCCTTCCCCAGAAGATGGGCTGCCTCTCCCAATCCCGGGACACTCTCTGGGATCCCTTTGGAGCTTACTCTCTCCCTCCGTCACTGATGGCAGTTCCCTGACATCCTCCTCTTGATTTTATTGCAAGGAGATTCATTATTTCCAGAGAGGTTACTCATGCTTCTACTTCCTCCTTCCGTTTTGTAATGTTTGACATGGCTCTGCCTAGCTCGCTCTGCAGCCGTTTGTGTGTTACATTTCCTTGCAGAAATTCTCAGGCTTGGTTTTCCCTTGTCACTCTACCAAAATATCTTGGGACTCTGTGTTGGCCCTTTCATACTGTTTGCACAACGCCCGCAGGCTTATGTGCTTATTATACAAAGTCAAACGGAGAAAGAGAACAAACGAGCCATTGCTATAGAAACAGGGCCGATTTATTTATCGAACAAGCATATCCCACTGGTCACTCTGGCACCTGCTCTGCAGGCCCTTTGTTGTGGCTCATCTTTCTTACAGTATTTTATACTGGACTAGATTCAAGAGTAAGCTGCCTGCCTGACTATGTCCGACACATAGCCCTGGTGCCACTGATTTAGATATGATTCTTCTCAAGTAGGTGGCTGAGCTTAGCTGGCAATGGCACAAGTAAGGTCAGACCTTTGTCTATGGCCTCGTTGGACACAGAGGACTGGTGGGAAGAAGCAGTTGGGGAACCACCAAGGGAAGAAGTCTCAGAGCCCGGGGAGTGGTGGTGGGAGGATGTTTAAGTGGGCTGAAGGAGAAGACTGGGAAGAGGTGTTGGAAGCTGAGGAGGTAACAGGGCTTAGTGAGCTGGGAGAGTCTGTGTCAGAGAGAAGGAGAATAAAGAAGCTGGGGAAGGAGTCCAAGAGGCAGAAATGAGTCAGGCTGGTGAAGAGCCATAATAATAATTATAATAATTAATATTATTATTTATACACCGCCAATCTGGCTGGGTTTTCCCAGCCACTCTGGGAGGCTCCCAACGGAATATTAAGAACACAATAAAACATCCAACATTAAAAAACTTCCCTAAACAGGGCTGCCTTCAGATGTCTTCCAAAAGTCAGATAGTTGCTTATTTCCTTGACATCTGATGGTAGGGCATTCCACAGGGCGGGCGCCACTACCAAGAAGGCCCTCTGCCTGGTTCCCAGTGTGGTGTAGTGGTTAAGAGTGCTAGACCCGTAATCTGGTGAACTGGGTTCACTTCCCCGCTCCTCCACATGCAGCTGCTGGGTGACCTTGGGCTAGTCACACTTCTCTGAAGTATCTCAGCCTCACTCACCTCACAGAGTGTTTGTTGTGGGGGAAGAAGGGAAAGGAGAATGCTAGCCGCTTTGAGACTCCTTCGGGTAGTGATAAAGCGGGATATCAATTCCAAACTCTTCTTCTTCCCTGTAACCACACTTCTTGCAGTGAGGGAACTGCCAGAAGGTCCTCGGAGAGTCTCTCCCTCCTCTCCCAGAACCAAGAGAGGCATGAAAAGGGCAGAGGAGAGATTTGCTTCACACAGGCAGTCTCCAATTGCTTGGGAAAACCCTAGAAAGGAGGGGAGGCAGGAACTTTCAGTCTTGGCAACTGAACCATGGGGCAAGACCTACTGGGGATGAGCTGCTGTGCTCATGAGGCCTCTCTGCCACATCTGTGCAGACTGTGTTCTTGCTAATAAAGCATTAACTCCAGCTTGCATGGTGTGGTTTACTGCTGGCTCGCTCCCGATACCTGCTGAGCTAAGTCCTGCACACGTGGTACAATGCTTAGGACCCTAGACTTCTGCTTTCCTTTCAAAGATCAATGAGGAGGATGGATTAAAGATGACAGAAGCAACATGATTTATGTCCAGGTATCTCCTGTGATCTCTCCCACCTCATGGGGTGGGGGATAGGGAGAGGCACTACTGGTTTATTGCACAGAAGAGCCCAAAATTGGATCCAACGCTTCCTCAATGTTTATAGCCCACGGCATGCTTCATAAAGTTGTTATCACTGAGATACTTATGCGTTTTTACCAGCTCAGCAACATGAAGAAGCTTTATCACCTAGATCTGAGTATGAATCAGTTCACCACCTTCCCATCAGTCATCCTGGATATGCCAAACCTGGAATGGTTAGACTTGGGGAGCAACAAAATTACAGAAATCCCTGGGGATCTGGACAGGTAAATTACAAACCTTGGGGAAATTCCTGCCGCTTTCCAGTATTTATTGGTAACAATCAAAGTTTACTGAAATGAAATGTCTTGTTACTCAGATAGTAAAAACTGAAATATATTGCAGTATAGGCAAGCTGTATTATTGTACCATTTATCCTAAAGCAAACAAGTCCTTGCTGGTCGTGGGACAGAACAGGCTTTGTTTCCTCTGCAGCCAGCAGAGAAACCAAGTTGCCCATCCTTTCTCCACCAGCCTATTCAGTTACATGCATGGAATTCTGAATGCCTATGACTACCAGGTGAGTCCTTAAATAGAAGGGTGTGCAAACCAAGCTAGCAGTTCAGGCTCATACATTGATGAGGATCATAGAAGCCTCCTTTGTGAGTTGTGCAGAGAGGGATGAACAGGTGAATGACAAAACCATTTTGCAATGACTTTGGGGGACCGTATTCTCCTCTGGAAATGCTATAGTTAGTTACTATTGCAAGGGTTTACCCTCCACCAATTCAAACTAATGGTTTGATATTGTCAGCCCTGACAAGCACCACCTCTTCAAGATATCAGGCAGATACTGTATTTTTCGCTCTGTAAGACGCACCTGACCGTAAGATGCACCTAGTTTTTAGAGGAGGAAACAAGAAGAAAAAAATTCTGAACGAAACCGTGGATGTATGATTTCTGTGGTTCATGCTGTGGCGACAGACATGTGATTTGATTGTGAGTTTGGGGTAGCCCAATGCAAAAATCCTGAGAATCCATGTGGATCCGTGCTTTGTAAACACATTTTTGCACCATTGCAGCCCCACGAAACAGTGGGTACGTGGTTTTTTTGGTGCAGGCTGTAGCCATAGACATGCTATGTGATCTGATGGTAAATTTGGATCCATGGGCTTTTACCTCCCCCCTCCCAAGCAGCCTCCTTTATCTCTAGCGTCTCTTATCTCCCTCCCCGATCCCTTACCGATCAGCTGCTTCCTTTCAACACTCCCTTTCCTCTTGTTTGCCTTAGTGTCTTTTCCTTAGCTGGAGCAGTTTTTTGCTCCTCCTTTTCTTCTAATTTCTCTCCTAATTGCTTTAGTCTTCCTGTCTCCTCTCCTTGCAAGTTTGCTGTCTTTACCTCCTCACTCCCAGGCAGGCCTCCTTTATTGCTAGCGTCCCTTATCTTGCTCCCGATCGCTTGCCGATCAGCGGCTTTGTTTCAACACCCACTTCCCTCTTTCAAAAAAAAAAAAAAAAGAAAAAAGCATGATCTGCTTTTTGCCCCTGGGCAATTTGGCTCCAGGGACCACGCATTCGCTCCATAAGACGCACAGACATTTCCCCTTACTTTTTAGGAAGAAAAAAGTGTGTCTTATGGAGCGAAAAATACAGTGTTTATCCACAGCTAGCTGCCAGAGATTCCGTAATTGAATACCACAGAGAAATTGCTCATAGCATTCCATGCTCAGCCTTCATTACTACCACCACAATGAAAAATTACAGGGGGTAAAGAAATGTGTATATATAGCCAAGTAGTTTTCTTTATAATTAAGGTATCTGCTTGACTTCACAGAGCTGAAAACCTACATACTTTGTGGCTCCAAAGGAATGAAATAACTCATTTACCCGAATCCATTCGTAACCTGAAAAATCTGAGCACGCTTGTCCTTACCAGCAACAAGCTCCAAGATATTCCTGCTTGCCTAAAGGACATGACGGAGCTGAGGTGAGAGGAAAGCAATCGCTGTGCCTGCAATGTTCATATTCATAGGCAGACACACAAAACCACACTGCTGCCTTAATATTGTGGAGGAAGTGGTCTAATAAGGTTTCAAAGAGCACATACTACTCCAGTAAACTTCGCTGCAAACCATTTCACCTAAGGATTCGATTTCAAGGCCTGAAACAGCTCTTGCTTTTTGAATTTCTCTCTAATGCATTACTAGATTCGTCAACTTCAGAGACAATCCACTGAAGCTGGAGGTAACACTACCCCCTTGTGAGAATCCTGAAGAAGAAGAAGAACAGGAACTGTATGGCATTCAGTTCATGCACGCATACATTCAGGAGTCGCTCAGCAGAAAAGGTATCTTTATACCATTAAAATAAAAGTTATATTTGAATTCAGCGACCAAATGCTAAGGGCATATTTTCAAGTGATGCAACTTTGTAATCTTTTACTTTCTAATCTTTATTCTTCCTCAGGGTGGAAATATATTCCTTCTTAAGATTGTTGGCGCTACTTTTAACAAATAACAAAGGCATTTCTCTCTGGGCTGTCAAGGCAGGCTGGGAAACACTAATATATTACTAGATTTGTCAGCATGTTTGCATGTGCTATCTAATTTTTCCTGCTTCACCCCCCTGTAGCGTATGATTTTCTAAGGGGAAACAGCTATGAAAGCTCTGGTGAAAAATCACCCCTTCTTGAGGCAAATTGCAGCTTCAGAAATAAGGGTTTTCACTGCACAGGAGAAAGGGTTCAATGCTCACTCTCAATGAGTGTAATGCAATCCCAGTTCTGATGTGGGAACCTCTAGCTGCTATTTTAAAAGGAAAAAAAACATAAACATATGAAAAAGTAAACTATGTGTTACATATAAGGTATAATTTAATTTACAGTCCATTAGCAGAAATAAAATACTCAACAGACTTCAGCTAAGTACTTTAATTCTATGCAAGCACATAATGCAAAGAGTATAAAAACGTGTTTTAAAAAAACCTTTCAAAAAGGTATGGTGAACAGACAGGATTATAAATAAGTTGCCAGCATTATTTTTTTTAATGTAAGTTTCTTGGCATGTAGATTTCTTCCATTAAATATTTTCTCTTTCAGAAAACATGGAAGGTGGTATGCTAGCTGGTGCTGCTGTCAATGAAAAGTAAAAAGAAATCTTTGCCAGTCTGAGTTTTCACTGCTGCTGGAAGTTCACAAGAATATGTCTTCCAAACAAAGGCGTTCTCTCAGTGAAGAAGACTAAGTTGATGTTTCCTTTCTTCTGGATCCAGAGGAGGCTATAAAAACCTCTAGCTATTTGGTAAGCTCTATACTGGATGTTAGAAGAGGAGACATGTTCTGCAGACTGTGTGTCCAGTTTTTTCTAAAGTCCTCTCGCTTTTAAGCAGTTGAGGGGGCTAATGAAGACTGACATGGCACAGCTGTCAAGAGTACATTTTCTAAGGACACGCTGAGATCTGTATAGTGCTGCAACACAGCTTCATAGCCTCTCTGCTGTAAATATTCGATCCGACCATGATCAATCAACAGTTTGCAAAGCTGACCTATCTGCTTTCGGTCCTCAGTGGTTAACAGCCTAAAACCAGAAGGAAAAAATATTTTTAAATACAGCAATTGTAACATCTCAAGGAATCAGGACATCAGATTTAGAGCATTGCAATGCAAATGGGTGACTTAAGAATTCCTTAAAAGTCATGCAGTATCTTAAAAACCAACAAATTTACGTTTGTGGACTTGGATCTACTTTAAAATCTTGTAAGGTAAAGGTAAAGGGACCCCTGACCATTAGGTCCAGTCGTGGCCGACTCTGGGGTTGCGCCACTCATCTCGCTTTATTGGCCGAGGGAGCCGGCGTACAGCTTCCGGGTCATGTGGCCAGCATGAGTAAGCCACTTCTGGCGAACCAGAGCAGCACACGGAAACGCCGTTTACCTTCCCACCGGAGCAGTACCTATTTATTTACTTGCACTTTGACATGCTTTTGAACTGCTAGGTTGGTAGGAGCAGGGGACGAGCAACGGGAGCTCACCCCGTCGCGGGGATTCGAACCGCCGACCTTCTGATTGACAAGTCCTAGGCTCTGTGGTTTAACCCACAGCGCCACCCGTGTCCCTTTTAGGTTGCAACAAATTACAAAATACATTTGGGAAGGGAAAATAATACTCCTAATTTACATATCTGAATGACTATCAAATGCAGAACGTTAAAATCTATTTATTTCAAAAATCTGTTGTGCTGAAAAGGATCACGTACCCTTGCAGGCTATCCACATTGTATTCATCTTGGTCATCTTCTCCTGTCTCATTGCTCTGTTCTTCATTCTTTGTATGAGTTGCATAGCTTTTCCTCTCAGTTTCTCTCATGCCACAAGTGGCCCAGCTTGTCATCCTTTTAAAATAATTGAATTCCATCGCCCCAAGTCCTACTTTTGTGAAGAAGTCTTGGCCTACGTAATGCTTCCAGTCACATCTATGATGGCAACACAGGGCAATAACAACCCCAGCCACAGGGCTCCAGCTGTCTGCTATAGGCTTGCCATGCAATTCACCAGAATTATTAGAAGTTATGCTGGTTTCATTGCTCTTAAAGCGTTTAGGCGCAGGGCTCTCCTTTTCGCCTTCGCAGAGTTTTGCATATGTTTCAACTAAGCATCTCAAAGCAAGATCTGTGAACACAAAAGTATTGTTTGAACTTTGGTTGCTTCAAAGAGCAATAGAAATAATGTATAACTTGTAACATTTATGTCATCTTGGTCATGTTCTTCTGATGTCTGAACCATCTTTTCACCTGATTCCATCCACAACAGTTAAAAAAACTTATCAGATGTGCCAAATTTATGGTGCAACATTTTCAAGCTATATTCTTACTTAGCAGCCCAACCCAATAGGACTCCAACTCCCAAGTTAAGTGTAAGAAGGCCTGCAGCTTAAGAAGTGCAACAATTATTTATGAAAGGGTTTGGTAAGTTCCATTAGCTTGCCTTAAACTCCTTTATTTTGTTACCTTATCAGTGTTTCCCAAACTTGGGTCCCCAGCTGTTTTTGGACTACAACTCTCACCATCCCTAGCGAGCAAGATAGGGATAATGGGAACTGTAGTTTGAAAACAGCTGGAAACAAGGCCTTACATTGTATTTCCGTGAATATTTTTAAGCAGATCCAACGTGTTCAGCTATATACCAAGGAGAGATCATGAAATACTGATACTCAGAATAAAGTCAAAGCCTGTGCCAAGTCCTGTGACCCTTTGGGCTTGTGTGATTTTAATCAGTGATAACTTCTCACTGTATAGTTCAAACACCTCTCTCTTCACCAACTAGGACAGTCTTGTACCTGTTGCCGCACCACAAACATGTTTTCCAATTCCTATCACAGGCAGCTTCTCTTTCACAAGAACAGGGACCTTATCTGAAAGAGAGAACCCCAGCCAGCATGTTTCTGACTGCTGCAGACACACACGTGCATCAAGCAATCAGAATAAAATCAAAACTGAAAATCGTACGCTTTTACATACAAATTACATGTTGGTCCAACCACAGAGCAGCCAGAGACACTGTGATGAAAGGTTTTTAAAAGAAAGATTACCAAAAAAAAAAAAAAAAAAGGACAGAAGGACATAAGAGTATCAAATCTAACAAGGTAAATCAAATCAAAAGCCCATCTCACAAGCTCTTTTGAAGCCAGCTCTGGGAAACCCATAAGCAATAAGGATGTGATGGCAATAGCCCTATTCCAACCCCTTTAGTAAGCTGGTCAAGGATGCCAAACAATTCAAACACACATTCCTAGTCAAATGTATCAAGTTTTATATAGTGGTACCCTCAGTTTTCGGACGTCTCCGTCGCTGAACGTTTCAGTTTTCGAACGCCAAAAACCCGGAAGTAAATGCTTCCGTTTTCAAACGTGCCTTGGAAGTCTAATGGCTTCCGCTGTGTGTATCTGTTGTTTTTCACAATTTTCTCTATTTAATTGGCAGACCGCTCTTTGCACCTCAGTTTTCGAACGTTGCGGAAGTTGAACGGTCTTCCAAAACGGATTGCGTTTGAAAACCGAGGTACCACTGCACTTGGATACAGTGCCTTCAAGTTTTTCAGTGCATTGCATTTGGCCACAAACAAATATTCTAAAAATAATATACAGAGGACTAATCTGAAGTTAGTTCACTGATGGCAATCCAAATGTGTAGAGTAATGCACATGAAACCAAAACACTCTAATTGATTTGTGTATCTGACCTGCTTTGTGATTATTAACACTTAAGGAATACAAATGGGGAGTGTCTAGTAATGAATTTGAAAAGTTGTATTTATATACCTAACAGTATATAAAATCTTGCCACTGAAATCCTGTTCTCTAGCTCTTGCACCACACTTGTTCTCAAATCTCAGTTTAGTAGGACTGATCCTGCTTTAACTGTTTCTAAAATCACCAGGGTTTTTTTCTGCACTGTCTTTCACAGAGTTCATAAAGAATGATTACTGTCAAAGTGAAGCATATGTTAAATGAATGAGTAACTTACTTAAACACAAATGCTGGATATCGACTTGAAGCCTTTCAAAGCAATTTTTTCTATGCTTACCATCTACCTGTGAAAAAACAACAAGAAAGATTTATGAAGTAATTGCCTCCTAAAAGAGCTACTTGGCAAATTCCAGTTATATTTCACAAATGAAATAAAAAATGTTCAGTAACAATTTCAGTATTTTTTTCTGCTGCAATGTTGTTATTGGCAAGACTTTAAAACAGACAAGTTTAGATTTGGCCTTACTTTTTTATTGATAAACTTATTTTTTTGTAAAAAACAGAAACAAAAAACCTTTGAGTTGGCTTCCCGGGGGGGGGGGGGTTATAAGGCTTGCAATACTGCCTTACCTTGAACCTAGTAGTTGCTCTTTCAACAAGAAGAAAATGCACATCTTTAGAATCTTGTAAGGCTATATCCACCCAGTGGGACAGCTTTCCTCGTCCCGCTCCAAATTCAACAAAACAGTTGCCAGGTTCAAGCAAATGCAGTCTTTCCATGTTACCTAATATAGAAGCCTACAGATGTCAAAAGATTATTTATTAGCTCAGCGAAATCAATTCTCTCCACTATCATCTACGTAACAATCAGAAGAATTTTCCATAGCACCTACTAAAATGCTACTTCTGATCCTGCCCATACTAATTGATTGCAGGATTAAATTATTGCATTGTTATTTTGAGCATATTCTGATAATTCCATGCAGGGGGGTCATCTATGTGGCACCCACAATGACATGCACCCACAGAGGCCCTCTTCTTGTTGAAATTAGGCTTGAAAGCAGTGTAGCCAACAGAACAGGTTGTGGTGTGTGTGTGTGTTGTACCTACAACAGTTCCTTTGCTTTGCAAATGCATACCCACGCACCAAAAAAAGTTGTTGAAATTGCAGCCAAACCTATTTTTGATTTCTGCTTACTTAATACTATGAGCTTTTTCTTTGGGCATCTACTTTTTAAAGAATTTCACGGGTTTATTTCATGTCCAAACTCATTACAAACAAATGTAAATGAAAGCTCCATAAAGCACAGAGCAATTTCAGAAGAAAAAAAATATAGATATGCTAACACTTCCAAGACATTTATCAACCAGAAATTTAAAAGAAAGTTTTGCTAAAGTCAGTATTTACCGCTAAGAGTACTCACCTGTTGTTTCAAATGCTTAAAAGCCACATCTCCATTTTGGGGGTCATTCAAGGCCTCTTGTAAAGCTTGGTGAGAGAGGATTTGGTCCTTAAGTACATAATTTATACCTGAAGAGGAAAAGCATTATTATCCCTTGCCCTGAGGTTTCAAACTGAGGCAGTCACAAAGAAAACTCCTTCTAGGTAAATACCATATTTTTGCTCTGTAAGACTCACTTTTTTCCTCCTAAAAATGTAAGGGGGGAAAAGTGTGTGCGTTCTCTTATTGAGCGAATGCAGGCTGCACAGCTATCCCAGAAGCCAGAACATCAAGAGGATCGCTGCTTTCGCTGTGCACGAATCACTTCTTGCTGTTCTGCTTCTGCGTATTTCAGAATATTTTTCTGTTTTCTCCTCCAAAAAACTAGGTGCGCTTAGGCTGGTGCCTCTTATAGAGCAAAAAAATACAGTACATTTTGTAGGCGAAAAGTAGGATGACATGATGGGGCTCTGCAACTCCCAACCTCGACAGGTTGTGCCACTGCTGCTTATGGAGAGGGGGAAAGAGGCAACATGGGCCCAACTCATTTATGCAGCAAATCCTGCACCCCTGTCAATGCAGTTGCACCATAGCAATGCCCCCGCTTCCTTGCCCCTCCATCTCTTGCAAGCAGCAGCAACACAACTGACCAGAGGTGTCAGGTGAGCACCATCGACCCACTACACTGTCCCCTCCTGTGACCAAGTTACTAACCATATGAGAGTACACAATTTTGAACAGCAAAAATATTTTAAACAGTCGGTGTTTAAAGGTTTTCTAGTTCCATCCTTACATACAGTGGTACCTCTGGTTGTGGACGGGATCCGTTCTGGAGCTCGGGTCGGATCCCGAGGTTTCCACAACCGGAAGGACCGCTTCTGTGCATATGCGCAGTAGGGTGGTTCTGTGCATGCGTGCGCGGCGAAACACTTCCAGGTTTGCCGCTTTCACAACCCGAAGTTTACATTACCCAAGGGTAATGTAAGCCGAGGTGCTACTGTATTCAAAAAACATTAGGCTTTGACCATTAGGATTATTTCTACTCTATTTCCTCAACACCCGACGTAATCTATTATAAAAATAAAACAGACTCACAGATACTTGCTCTTCTTAGCTTTCTAATTAAGTCCTCCAACTCTTCTTTAGACAGTGCAGAAATTGGTGCCTGCTGAAGGGTACACAAAAGGAAACTTATACAAAGTTTATTCTTTTCTCTGTTTATAAAAGAAAAGGTTAGCCTATATATATATATATATATATATATATATATATATATATATATATATATATTAAGCAGTGTTTAAATTTTGATCTGATTCAAACAAGGTGCACCTGCCCTTAGACTGGTGCTGATCACCAAGAAGAAGGGATCATGTACGGTGTATGGATCCCCCAGGCATGATCCTCAAATTCTCTCCAATTAGGAAATGTAGTGACTAGACAAAGGAGAATAAAAGGGAATTGAATGCAGAAGCAATAATGGTGCAATTCTCCCAGCCTGTCTACACATTCTAATTGAAGTGAATGGAAAGCCTTGAGGAGGAGAGCTTGATGTTTCTCACTGTACCTAGTAAATGTGAACACACATCTAGAAACTTGGTTGTCTGGGCAACTGTCAGTTACATCCTACCTGGTGCTCTTTTTTATATGCCGTATATATAGCTGTTTATGGTATCAGTGGATCCTGCTTGGTGTGATTCATAAGCACCTGTAGTCCAGTCCTACATGCATCTACATGGAAGTACCGGTAAACTCCAATGATTTTAGTGGGATATATTTCTGAGCAAAAACGCATAGGATTAGGCTTTTTCATCAGAGCCAGCCACAGCAACAATGGATGAAGAAGATAATGGCACATATAAGAAGATGGGTGCAGTCATCTGAACAAAGGCCCTTTGGGTGTGGTGCCTCAAATGATCAGCAGCATATGATTCTGTCCAAAACCAAAGAAACAGCTTTTTCTATACTGAGGTTTAAGATACGGGTCAGCTAAGATCAATGTTTAAACCCCTTGGATTGTCTTCTAGGCTAATAAATCTTGCCGCAGAACCATGACTGACACACAAGGAAATGTGCACTTACAAGAGGCAGTATCCTTGCACCAGAGAACATATTGCAACTATCATTTGAAACAAACATCATATATTAAAATTTAATCATTCACCTGCTCTTCTGGCAACTCTGTTGTATCTTTCAGTCCTGCATTAATATCTTGAGAATAGTAGACCTTAATTAAATCGTGGAACAAATATCATGTTAGGATCTAATTATGGCAGGACAACATACAATTACTTTTTCAGTATGTTTATATGGTTTTACCTAGCCTTTCATTAAAATGTTCACTGAAAGAGTTCCTTCTCCATCCCCTTTCCATTTTTCTTTTGATGCCATTCTTCTTATTCCTCTGTTTTAAACTTTAGTGGCCACCTCTTTAGAGCATCCTGCCTTAGACTTTTATATCCATAGTTTTAAGAGAACCCAGTACTCCATAAACCATGTCTGCATAACTGTAATAAAAACACCACCCAAACAAAGCCACATAGATTTTATCTTACTGGAGAACCATCAGAAGGAAGAATGGCAGTAACATCACTGCAGAAGGCAGTTTTGCTTAAGAGACACCATTAAAAACCCTGTTTAATTCATTAGATGTACACTTACAGGTTTTGGCTTCTCTCTTGAATTACACTTTTTCAAGTGTTTTTGTAGCTGATCTTCATATACAGTACTAAAAGCAGAAACAGAAAGGAAACTAACAGCACTGTTCACTGTTCTCAAAACAAAAAGTTAGCGTGCAAACATCTATTAAGCATGCTTACTGTTTCGGATCCAAAGGGCATGGAATTCTTTTCCTGCCATTTTCTTCCTGAGTGGCAAAAAAAGTTTTAACTTTAAAACTGTGTGTTTACTTTAGCAGTCAATGGATTGTATTGTTATACGTTATACAGAGAGTGGCCCCAGTGAGATCAGTGGACTTGACCATGTCCTCTAAAGTTTAAACTGCATTTAGCACCCTGGAACGGAATACAAAATCAAAATTGGCTTTCACAGAATGGGGTGTGCAGTTTGCATTCAAACCCTTAAAACATTACCCGGGAACAAGTTTTACTTAAAAGCATGTGTAAAAGAGAAAGCTTTTTTTATTTTATGACCTGATGTTTCAGGCTGCTGTCCTATATACACAATAACCTGGCAGCAAGTCCCATCGAAGTCAATGGGTCATACTTTTGGGTAAAATGCCATCATAGAATTATAGAACTGTAGAGTTGGAAGGAACCCTGAGGGTCATCTAGTCCAACCCCCTGTAATGTGGGGAAGCTTTTGCCCAACTCCAACACACAACCCTGAGATTAAGAGTCTCCTGCTTTCCCAATTGAGTAAAGGATTGCATTGCACAGAATTTCAGATTTCAGTTTCCAGTTTTATAGGGTGTGTGGGGGTTTTTCCTCCTGGGAATGATACACTACCTACCAAGTCGTCCACTATAAATATTAATTTAAAGAAGAACTAAGCATATGTGTGTGTTGCAACAGATGAAGACTTCATCCAGCATGGAAATAAACGAAGCCACGAGGAATCTGCAACTAATGAATATGTGGTGGATCTGTCGCAACAGACCACCGTGCCTCTGAGCACGTGCAAAGCGCATTTCCTCGTTTCTGGAACGAAGGGTGTCTTTATCGACGGCGTGGTTTTTATTTTGGTCATTTGATAGTGGGGTGTTTTTTTTGTTTTGGTCATTGTTTATTAGAACGAAAGCGAACTAGCTATTTGCCAATCTCTCTCTCTGCCTCCACGTCGCCTGGTGAGAAACGAGCTCCAGCTGCGGCCATTTCTCTCTCTCTTTCCTCCCCGCCCTCCGCCTCCAAAGCGACTACCTCACGGCCTCCGTGCTCGCCGCAGAAGCGCTTGCCCCGGGCCGGCACCATTTTGCAGAAGCGCCTTTTCCGCGCCACGAAATAGGCGCAGCGGCCCGGCTGAGGGGAGACCGGCGCGGCAGCCTCCGCCGCCATCTTGCCTCCTCCTCCTCCGCCTGCGCCGCTCGCCCCCGAGAGGCCTCCTCCCCTCTTTTCTCCGCCCCGCGGGAGGCCGGCGCCAAACTCAAAGCGCAAGATGGCGGCCGCCGAGAGCCTGTTCAGTCAGTTGGTGCCGGTGCAGGCCAAGTGCCAGGGCTGCGAGGAGAGGTGAGCGGCGAGGCGCGGCTTCCCCGCAAAGGGAGACGTTTTCCGTGTCTCCCCTCACAATGGCCTACGGGGGGGGGGCGGCTTTCTTCTCCCCACTCCCTCCATTGCTTGAAGGGCCGCCCTATCTCCGTCGCAGCAGGCGGGCGGTTGGCTCGTCCCTTGGCGGGACCCGGGGAGACGGAGGGGCCCTTGAGGTGGGGTGTGGGGGCAAAACCGGCCGCTTGCCCCCCACTTCTCCAGCGCAAGACCCTCGGACCTAACATGCTCCGGCTTTCTGTAGTCTGGCCGCTTTTGAGGGGGTTTATCAAGGTTTTTTGGGGGGGGGGGCTTTTTCAGAGACTGGTCGTAACACGAACTCTGGCGGGCTGGGAAGACGCGTGTCAGGCTTTTCAAACAACCCCCTTTCGAGCTTGCAGATAAATGTCGTACGTTGCGGGTGTTAAAGCGCTGCGAGGCTCGGGAGCAACGGACTCGGGAACCTGCGTGTGTTTGTGGTCCAACTGAGTTCAGTGGGGAGGAGGAGCCAGGCGCCGCACCTGAGCCTTAGGGGTCTTTTGCCCGAATTCATCCCCTTCCCAGCATGTTGGCGCCATCATTGTGTGTGTGTGTGTGTGTGTGTGTGTGTGTGTGTGTGTGTGTGTTGTGTCGGATTTACGTATAAGCTAAACAAGCTATAGCTTAGGGACCACTCTCTTGGGGGTCCCCAAAAAATTAAAGGGGAAAAAAACCTGAGTGTACATTTCCAGAATATAAGATAAAAAACAAATAAAATAAAACCTATATATAGCAACAACAGTGTAGGCGCCTATGATGTAAGTAATGGGCCCCACCTGCTAGCCTGCTCCCTAAAATATCAGTGGTTTGCCCATTTCTAGTATCAATTGCTTTGATAAAGTACATATTTTGTTATGCGCAAATGGCTTTAGATATCTATTAGGTCCATAAATCTGCTGTTGTTTAGTCATGTCCGACTCTTCGTGACCCCATGGACCAGGTCCATAAATTACCATATAGCATATATTCAACACAAAAAACAGCAACAATTTGTTGTTGACAAAGGACAGCTGGACATATAAAGGGCCCCATTACAGTACTTTCAGTAGCTTAGGGTCTCATCAAACCTAAATCCGTCTCTCTCTCTCTCTCTCTCTCTGTGTGTGTGTGTGTGTATGCAAATACATGCAAAGGTAACCATGAGCATATAGACTGCCAACTTTAAAGCATATAAAGGTAACCTTGAGCATATAGACTGGCACCTTTTAACAGGGTTGTGAGCATGGGCGTAGCCAGGATTTGTTTTTTTTGGGGGGGGTAGGACACCCCCCACCTGTCATCATCCTCTGTCTAGCAGATGGGGAATGAAACCGTCCAGACAACAGTTGTTTTAAATTACTTCATTTCGACCCCGAGTTCTCACAAAAATCTGTCAAAATCTTTCGATGCTTTCTACTTTTAGTTAAGTATTTTTTATTGACTTGCAAATAGAATACATACGTTTCCGAGCGCAATGCAAAGTCCTGGGTGCTGACCTTTAAAGCCCTAAGCGACCTCGGCCCAGTGTATCTGAAGGAGCGTCTCCACCCACATCGTTCAGCCCGGACACTGAAGTCCAGCTCCGAGGACCTTTCAAACTTGAGCACACCTGCATTTGAACTTGGTGGAGCTATTGCTAGGAAAAAGCTATTGCTAGGAAGCAAGTCCTGTTCAATACAGTAGGACTTAAGTTCCAAAGAAACATACATAGTAAAAATCACACTGTTACTGAGTCATTAAGTGCAGGAAGCCCATAATTTTTAAGAATGCTGTGCAACTTGGTGCAAACTATTTTTTGAATAGATAGAGCTCCCCCCCCCCTGCCCTTTTTGGCCTATATTATATGGAATCAGTATTTTGTTACAGCATTTTAGAATTAAAAATGGGATAATGCACTAATCAATTTAGATTTTAGAATGAATTGCACGCAACAAGCATGACTTAGTAAGTTTCTGTTTATTTCTCATTTGTGCTGCAAATTGTCTATACAAATGGAACCTGTAACAATGCTGTAGTGTGGAGTGCTTGTATTCAGGATTCTAGTCAGCCTTGTCATTTTCCAGGATTCAGTGGTTCCTTGGTTTAAGAACAGATTAGTTTATGAACAACTTGGATTAAGAACGCTGCAAACCCAGAAGTAGGTGTTTTGGTTTGTGAACTTTGCTTTGGAAGCAGAACATGTTCCGCTTTCTGCTGAGTGTGTTCCATTTGTAAATTGAGTCCCCACAACTATGGGAAAACACACCTTGGTTTAAGAATGCTTTGGTTTAAGAACGGACTTCCGGAACGGATTAAGTTAGTAAACCAAGGAACCACTCCTCACCGTCACTGCTGCCGCAACAGTTGCTCGGCATCTTGTGCTCACTGATCATGCACAATCTGCATTGGGCTGTTTTGAGTCGTCGTCGTCCCCCCGCACCCCTATTGGAAATGATATGTAGCCTGCTAATAACTTGTACTGTTTTGGCTTCATAAGGATCCACACTCAATGAGTGGGCTTGTTGTTATTAACTAAACAATGGGTGGTATGAAACTAAGGTTCACTTAGAGTAAACCCATTGAAAGTAACAAAAATGACTGTAAAGTCCATTAATTTCAATGTGTCTACTGTAAGTAAAACTTGGTTGCATACCACTCCATATTAGTGGATTGGTTTTAGGATTAGTGATGTGTGTATAAATGAATGGTTTAGATAGCAATTTTACCTGAAGTACAAAATATTTCATTTAGTAAAATGAAGAATAAAGATGGAATCACATGTCTGTTTTGCAGGCGAATAAACGTTCGTGTGAATATTGAGCTGCAATCAACAACAAATCCCATTCATAGAAAGGTTTGTACTTTGCTTGTCATGTGTTGGTTTTGCACTCTGTTAGTTGCTTCTTCATATGATCATGTTTACTAACACAAAGTAGGCTCATTGATAAAACAGCTAGCACCAAACAGATTTGATTCCATGAACAGTAGCCTTGTAAGAAGTAATAGATTTCTGGGGATTAGTAGTCTTTCCCCCCGCCCCCAAACAAACACTGTGTTTCCTGAGACATTTCCTAAGTATAAACAATGCCCTAAAGGCTGGGACATGGACAATGGACAGGGATGATGTAGTTCAACAATATACAGTGGTGCCTCGCAAGACGAAATTAATTCGTTCCGCAAGTTTTTTCTTCTTGCGAGTTTTTCGTCTTGCGAAGCACGGTTTCCCATAGGAATGCATTGAAAATCAATTAATGCGTTCCTATGGAAACCGCTTGCCAGGCTGGCGGTGGGGAGAAGGGCTTTTCTCCCCACCGCAAGCCTTCAGGACAGGTACGGGAACAGAGGGGAAGGCGCGCAGCGCTTTTCCTGTTCCCGGGGCTTGCGTGGGAGGAGGGTTTTTCCTCCCCACCGCCAACATTCAGAACAGCATTCTGAATGTTGGCGGTGGGAAGGAAAACCCTTCTCCCACCCCAAGTCTTTAGGACAGCCATCTGAAGGCTGGCGCGGGGAGAAGGTCTCTCCGCCCCCCCCCGCCAGGCTTCGGAGCAGCCTTCCGAAGCCGGGCAGCGGGAGGCGGTGTTCCCGCCCTGCCGCCCGGCTTCGGAGCAGCCTTCCGAAGCCAGGAGGAGGTGTCTCCGCCCCGCCACCAGGCTTCGGAGCATCCTTCCGAAGCCGGGCAGCGGGAGGAGGTGTTCCCGCCCCGCCGCCCGGCTTCGGAGGAGGTCCGAGGACAGTGGGGAAGACGCGCTCCGCTTCCCCGCTGTCCCGGAGATTTCCCTATGGGCTTTCGTCTTGCGAAGGAAGCCCATAGGGAAATTCGTTTTGCGAAGCGCCTCCAAAACGGATAACCCTTTCGTCTAGCGGGTTTTCCATCTTGCGAGGCGTTCGTCTTGCGGGGCACCACTGTATGGAGGTCCACAAGTCCCCATCCTTCTTGTAGGCACTGCTGTGCAGTTTCTTGTGGAACATTATGAATAAGCATTGTTTTTGGGGTTAATATTTCTATGTTATTGTGCTGTGGTATCATCTGTTGTATAGATGCATTCAACAGTTACAAGATGCATGGGTAACACTAAGGCATGGTTTGTTTGAATGTCCAAGCCTAGCAGAGTACCCGTGGATTGTTTTCTACTTTGTTACTACTTTGAGCTGGTTTGCATGTAATGCTAAGCTGAACAATGGTTTAGGATGAACAAGCAGACTGCTGGAGATTGGATTGTGCGCACTTTGTTCCTCCTGCTATCCTCTTCCTTCTGTCAGTTAAGCCATGGTTTTGCTTAGCATGTAATCTAAACTCAGCCTTGTTATTTGTCTTTCTCCAGACAAATTATGAGTGGTAACCCAGGTTTGTTACAGTGGTGCCTCGCCAGACGAAATTAATCCGTTCCGCGAGTCTCTTCGTCTTGCGGTTTTTTCGTCTTGCGAAGCACTGCTATTAGCGGCTTAGCGGCTATTAACGGCTTAGCGGCTATTAATGGCTTAGCGGCTTTAAGAAAAAGGAAACAAACTCGCAAGACGTTTTGTCTTGCAAAGCAAGCCCATAGGGAAATTCGTCTTGCGGAACGACTCAAAAACGGAAAACCCTTTCGTCTAGCGAGTTTTTCGTCTTGCGAGGCATTCGTCTTGCGGGGCACCACTGTACTAGGTTTGCAGCTCATCTTGTGACAGCCAAGAAAAAGGCCTTTTTGTTGTGGTACCCTGCCAGTGAAACAGTCTCCCTTGAGATAAGGCAAACACCTACTCTTGGTTAGCAGTGGTTGCTGAAAACATACTACTACTTCAGGTTTTTGCTAACCATTAATATCAGCATATTGATTTTTTTCTTAACTTTTTTTGCTCCTGAATTTATTGTTTTTATTGTATTTTTAGTGTTTGATTGTGAACCACCTTGAGATTATTTTCTTAATCAAAGGGGATATGGAAGTATTTAAATAAATTGAAAGCAATCCATAGTTAAAACAAACTGTTACATATAGTGCAGTGTGCAGACAAAGCCACTGAATGCGTGACTTCGAAAGAATTGTGAAGCTGTAATAAATTTATCCAAACTATTGTCTTCTAGGATTTGGTTGTTCGTCTAACTGACGATTCTGACCCCTTCTTTCTATACAATCTTGTTATTTCTGAGGAAGATTTTCAAAGGTAAGTTGCCAAGTTCTGATTAGAAAATGCTTAAGATAAAAGTTTGAGTAGCTGCGTTTTAGCTAATGATTATTATGAACATTGTTCCTATGTGCCTAATGACTTGCATATCTCAGAAGGAAAAAGGAGATTACAACTAAACATCAAGAATATCTTTCTGACACTAAGAGCTGTTTGACAGTGGAACAGACTCCCACAAGACCTGTTGGGCTCTCCTTCCTTGGAGGTTTTTAAGCAGAGGTTGGATGGCCATCTGCCATGTATGATCTAATTAAGATTCCTGGTGTTGGACCAGATGACCCTCAAGTCCTTTCCAACTCTACAATTCTATGATTTTAGTAACAAATAGTATATAAGAATACATATTTATTATACTCTTTCTTTTTATTTAGTTTAAAACTCCAGCAGAGCCTTCTGGTAGATTTTTCTGCTTTTCCTCAGCGATTTATAGACCTCCTTCAACATTGTATCCAAGAACAAAATAAAGACATCCCAAGGTTAGTAACGCTTAAGCAGTAGTCTATGTTTTCTTTAAAACAAGTAATACAAACAACAAAAGTAGGATTCAAGGAGACTGTGTCTAAAGCACTTATTTATTTTATTAGCACCATTTGAAATCTCATGTTCGGTAACAACAAAAATGGGCAATGCAAAACCTATGGGCAGGATTCAGCTAATGGAAGCCTGCACAAGTGGGCTTACCCACTCTCCTGTCCCCATGCCCTCTCCTAAATTGACATGGGGAGGGGGCAGGAGATCTGCTAGAACAGTGAGCTGGAGGAGGAGAGAGCTGACTGTCCCATTGTTCCGAGCACAATTCAAAGTGTTGGTGTTGTTGTTGTTGTTGTTTAGTCGTGTCCGACTCTTCGTGACCCCATGGACCAGGCACCTCTGTCCTCCACTACCTCCCGCAGTTTGGTCAAACTCATGCTGGTAACCTCGAAAACACTATCCATCCATCTCGTCCTCTGTCGCAAAGTGTTGGTACTGACCTTTAAAGCCCTAAACGGCCTCGGGCCAGTATACCTGAAGGAGCGTCTCCACCTCCATCGTTCTGCCCAGACACTGAGGTCCAGCGCCGAAGGCCTTCTGGTGGTCCTGTCACTGCGAGAAGCGAAGTTATAGGGAACCAGGCAGAGGGCCTTCTCAGTAGTGGCGCCTGTCTTGTGGAACGCCCTCCCATCAGATGTCAAAGAAATAAACAACTATGACATTTTGATATGGGATGTGGGTGGCACTGTGGTCTAAACCACTGAGCCTAGGGTTTGCCAATCGGAAGGTCGGCGTTTCGAATCCCCGCAACGGGGTGAGCTCCCGTTGTTCGGTCCCAGCACCTGCCTACCTAGCAGTTCAAAAGGACGTCAAGTGCAAGTAGATAAATAGGTACTGCTCCGGCGGGAAGGTAAATGGCATTTCCGTGTGCTGCTCTTGTTTGCCAGAAGCGGCTTAGTCATGCTGGCCACATGACCCAGAAAAACTGTCTGCAGACAAACACCGGCTCCTTTGGCCTGTAAAGCGAGATGAGCGCCGCAACCCCAGAGTCGTCCATGACTGGACTTAACGGTCAGGGGTCCCTTTACCTTGTGACATTTAGAAGTCATCTGAAGGCAGCCATGTTTAGGGAAGTTTTTAATGACTGATGTTTTAATGTATTTTTAATCTTTTGCTGGAAGCCGCCCGGAGTGGCTGGGGAAACCCAGCCAGATGAGTGAGGTAGAAATAAATTATTATTATTATTAGGCAAGGAGAAATGTTTGTGCTGCCAGAGCAATCTGCTTAGCTCTGTGCTGAATTATTCCATATAAATCTATCAATTATATTTTGCTTTGACTTGACTCTAGGAGTGCTAGTTGGGGTTGTTGACACCCTTTAAGTGGAGAACACATACCTCTTGCTGCAATAGAGTTAGAGGCCAAGTACAAACTCTGCCCAGTCCATCTAATACTCTGTTATAGTGCAGTGTGCCTCCCCCCCCCCAGCTGCTTCCTTATTCCATTTCCTTTGCCTTTTCATGAGCTACTTCCAAAAGATGGTTGCTGGCTTTTTAAATAAGGCTTGCAGACTGCTTAGGAAAAGGTTGTTGCACCTGCATTGATCCACACAGCTACCAGTGGGCAGAGGAAGTAGCCAGTATTTGTAATGATTGGTGGATTAACACACTGATGGGATGGCAGTGGAATTGGAAGAGTTATTTCCTTTGTACCAGGTTACCCTTCCATAAGGATATGTGTGTCATGTGCTGAGAGACCCAGCTAACAAGTCATTTTTAATGTGTTCTTATTCTTTTTAGGTTTTTGCTGCACCTGGTTTCGTCAGGCCCTAATTTAGATCACACTCCTGCTTTTTTAAACGTGGTCGAGACAAACCCATTTAAACACCTCACACACTTATCACTGAAATTCCTACCCGGAAACGATGCAGAAATCAAGAAGTTTCTGGCAACCTGTTTGAAATGCATTAAGGTAAAACTAAGATTTCAGTTGTATGTTTTGGGTTACATTTTCGGATCTTTCGGCATAGCGATTAGCTTGGGTCACTTTGTCTAAATGAGGAAGCAAAATACAAAGTTGTGGGGTGTGTCCTGCTGTGTGGTCTGGCATACTCTGCTTTTCTATTCATGACAGTGGTGTAACAAGGCCACCTTGACATAAGTTTTCTATATTTTACAATTGAAAGTTCACACATCACATTAAGCCAATGTTGAAATAAAGTACGGTTTAATGTGAAATTGCAGGTGCTCCTGCTGCACTGCCAGGAACAAGTTACGTTCTGGCTTATCGTCATCTGGACTTGGGTTTTGGTTTGTTTCTCTCCAGCCAAACTATGAATTGAATCCAAGGTTTGTTCTTGGCTTACCACTCATGATTTGTTTGAGGGAAAGAAGCCTCAGGCCTGTGTTTGTTTCCTTGTAGCGCAGCGGAGTAAAAGCAAAGCACTTGTGAGTTCAGCAGTGTGCACCAACATGCTGTTCATTCACATTAAACCATACTTCATTTTAACTATGGTTTAATGTGATATGCAAACGAGGCCAGTGCATCTTTCAGAATCAGGCCTATGGAAAAGCACCTAATAATTAAGTAGCCCAACTCCTGTAACAGGAGTGAGTTTGTATCTGATGTGCTGAATAGCAGTGCAGTCCTACGCATGAGAATGTTTAGGATTGTAGGTTTAATGATTTCAAGAACTGGAAAGGGTTGCATTGACCGACAAAGCTGTCAACTGTACCTAGGAAGAAAAATTGCTGCTGGAACAGAAACTTAGAAAAACAGACGAGGACCTTACAAGACAGCTGAACTATGCCCAGCAGGTAAGAGTAGAATTCCACTGTGGGTCAAATGGTAGAAAATTAATGTTAAAAAAATCCACCCTGTGTTGGGTTGTGTACAATGTTATCTGTTGTGTGAGCAAAACTTCCACTGTAAGCACTGGGGCATCACCTTCCTCTAGTTGAGATTCCTGCTTTGGACTATATGACCCTCTGCAATTCTCTGATTCTTTACCCTCTCCCCTGCATGTCTTTAAAATGACAACCCCTCTGGAACAGATTTTTGGAGTACATTGGGGGGCTGCAGAGAGGATAGGAACCCATTGCACAAATCGAAGTCTGCTTGAGCAGTGTTCGACTCCTTCTATTATTTAATTACTGTATTGTGTTTACTTAATGACCTTTTTGTACCTGACCCTTTTAGAGAGAGAAAGTCTGACAGATCCTTACCCCAAGGGGCACTCAAATCAAAGTCAGACATAGCCAAACAACAGAGGGAAGGGAGGAAATGGAGGTGTGGGCAGGGCAGGGAAAGAACATGCAATTCAATTTGTTGCACTAAGGTGTTGGGGCTAAAAGAATAAGCCCAAAGGCTCCCTATGAAATTGTGTTTTGAGGGGTGGGATTAACAGAAAATGAAGATTATTGTCTTTATTTTATTGAATTCATTGTATAAATACTGTGTCTAAATTTAGGATCTGTGATATGCCTTCTTGCTGAGAATTCAGTACAGGAGGAGAGGAAAAGATTTAAGAATAGCTGCATTAGATGGCTGAAGCAAAATCGACAGAGTTCTCTGGCTCCTTGAAGTGTAACAAACTTATTGCAGCTTGTGCTAAAATAGGCAAAAGCCTGTTTCATCAGATGCATGGGAGGTTAAGGGTAGGCTCAGCTGTAAAAGCTCATATTACACTTAAGTTTTAGTGTTTAAGGTGCTATAGGTTTCTGTAAAAACAGAAAAATTATGTGTGTCTATATAAGGATGTAAAGTGCAAAGCAATTACTTTTTTTCCTGGGATAGCTATGATGTGGGAAATGTTCTGTAGGCTAGTCTTTGCAGAGGGATGTGTTTGTAATAGGATAACCTGCCTGTAACCCCTTTTATAAAGCACTGGCATAGTATTGATTAAAACCCTTCAATTACATGCAAGTTGACCATCTTAGTATTTTTATTTTCTCATATTTAGAGCTTGTCGGAAAAAAGCAGGGAATTGGACAAGCTGAGAAATGAATTGGCATCCAAAACAGCATCTCTAACCAACAAATATACCCAGGAACTGACAAATGAGAAGGAGAAAGCTCTGCAGGTGTGTAAAGAGAAGCCTATATACATCTAGCAGAATCCTTATGCCTTTAGTAGTTGCTCAAGTAATTGCTTTTCTTTGCAGGCACAAGCACAATATCAACAACAGAATGAGCAACAGAAAAGGGATCTGGAAAGCTTGCATCAGAAAACAGTGCAGCAGCTGCAGAATAGGTTGAAGGAATTGGAAAATGTCAACAAGGAGCTAATGGAAAGGAGATACAAAGGCGATTCGACAGTCAGAGAACTTAAAGCGAAATTGTCTGGCATAGAAGATGTAAGTAATATTCACCTATTAAGATCTACGTTGGGAGACAATTTGATAGTTTCCAGTCACTCATACAGATATACTAAATATTGCCAGTTATGTATTGAAAACAAGTTTTTTGTTTTGTTTTTATAGAATGTGCTTAACTTCTGTCAAGCATGAAACAAAGCATGAATTTTTGCCAGCAACATTTTTGTTAAAATGCTTGTAAAATATTTCTTCAACCACATAGGAATGCCAGAGAGCAAACCAGGAAGTTCTGTCTCTACGTCGAGAGAATGCTACCCTAGATGCTGAATGCCATGAAAAGGAAAAACTAGTAAATCAGCTGCAGACTCGAGTTGCTGTTTTAGAACAGGAGGTCAAAAGCAAGGAGGATCTGGTTACTAGGGCAAAAGAAGTATCGGATGCAACACATGAGCAAAAGGTTCTTAATTTTACTTTCTAGAATACAGCAGTACTTTAATTCATGGAGAATTGCATGCTGAAATGAAAGAACATGAGCTACAATCCAAAAAGCTGCTTATCGGTGCATAGCAGGGGTTCCTCATGCCCGATCTACTTTACTTCCTATTTGATACAACATAAGCGTTGTGCTCCTCAATATGCCCTTGAAATTCCTTTTAAGTTTTAAAAATAGTGTGCTGTGTGACATGGGACATTCCCATTAGAGAAACAAATCCAAAAGCTGCTGGGCACACAAAGTTCTCTGGATTATGGCTATATTTAGAAAGTGTAGGCAATACTACAATGTATTGATTTTTAAAAAGTTATATATTTCACCATGCTGTAGTAACTATAGTAATATAAATAAGCATTTTTGGATGTGATGGGCTTTTCAGAAATTGCTAGCATTTTACATTACAGAATAGGAATTTCAGAACTAGTGTTCTTGTTACTTTATGCAACTGATCCATGTGAATATTTCTTGGCAAAACAAAACCTCCCTAATACACTATATGCTCTTTTAAAAGGTAAACCTGGAAAAAAATATAGAAAAGAAACAAATTCAAATAGGAAATCTGGAAACAACACTAAAGTCACTGTCATCTGAACTCCTTAAGGTTTGTTCAAAACACGTTATTGACCTTTTTGATGATTATTTGACTTCATGTGTTCTTAATTTAAAATTATGCGGTTGTTTATTAGGCCAATGAGATAATAAAGAAATTGCAAGGCGATGTAAAGACTCTAATGAGCAAACTGAAGCTGAAAAATACAGTAACAATTCAGCAAGAAAAACTCTTGGCTGAAAAAGAAGAAAAACTGCAGAAAGAACAAAAGGATCTACAGGAAGCAGAAAGTTCTCTCCGAGCAAAAGAGCAAGAGGTAATTTAAGGGTCAGGTTTCTATCCAGAAAGTGGTTGGTTGTTTTTTTAAAGATGCTTAACTTTAAACTCATGCTATGTCAGTTCATGCTAGGTCTCTGACTTGAACCATTTTGCATAATCCCTGTACATACGATTGGCAGACCAATTCTATGGTGTGGTGGAAATACCGTCAGTATGAGCTTTTCAATAGACTTAATACACTTTGCTTTTAAAGTAAGTTTTGGCGTTGCCGATTAAACTGCTGTGGACTCATAGTGTTAAAACATAGGTAGGCAAACTAAGGCCCTGGGGTCGGATCTGGCCCAATCGCCTTCTAAATCCGGCCTGCGGACGGTGCAGGAATCAGCATGTTTTTACATGAGTAGAATGTGTCCTTTTATTTAAAATGCATCTCTGGGATATTTGTGGGGCATTCGTTCATTTCTCTCCCCCCCCCAAAAAAACAACAACAATATAGTCCAGCCCCCCACAAGGTCTGAGAGACAGTGGACCGGCCCCCTGCTGAAAAAGTTTGCTGACCCCTGTGTTAAAACATTTCAGGTGTGCAAGTTGCAGGAACAATTGGAAGCAACAGTACAGAAGCTGGAGGAAAGCAAGCATCTTCTCAAAACCAATGAAAACGGTGTGTGTATATGAGATTCTTGCATTAGCCACTAATATCTAATCCTATCAACTTTTCAGAGCCTAACAATTGAAGCTGGTTTGAGACATAATCTCACTTTCATGGGTCTACAAATTCTATGTTCTTTCTTAGATATGTGGCAGTTGATCAGCTTTCTGTTAAGGAAGTGCAAGCATGTAAATATTATTGTGCAAAGACTAAGAATTCTGTTTGGCAGCTGGAACCTAAAGAAGAATTTCTGGGGCTGTCATATTCCTCCCCTTTTGTTTCCTTCTCTCTTCTGCAACTTCATTATGTAATTTAAATTTTTAATAAATAACTCCTGAATGTAATTTCCCCAATTCCCATCTATTGTGTAAGGCTTTCGCAGAGTACTGACTAGGTTTCTCAGTCTCTAAGTTAATATATGACAAAACTGGGGCTGCGGTCCTACACCCAAGCATGTTGAACTCGATGGACTGACTTCAGTGTAGACATTCATAGGATAGCACTGTGAATTATTTGTGTATGGCTGTCCAGCAGTATACTGAGCTATGGTTTAGATTTAAAACAGCAGATAAAAGTCCTGAAAAGTGAAATACTTGGTGTACATTTTTTCTTTGTAGTCATCACATGGCTAAACAAGCAGCTGAATGAAATTCAGATGACAAGGAAGCAAGAAGTGTCAGGAACATCTACTAGTCCTAGTGGTGCCACTCCAAGAACTGGCATTTCACCTCACAGTATGGTAATAGTAATGTCCTTATGAATTTTTGTATGGTCCTTCTGGTCCTTTCCTTCTCCTATAGTGTTAATTTCTACACATACTGGGAGAGAAGGAAGTGCTTATACCCAATATCCACTACCATTAAGATACAAACAGAGGAATTTGTTTTCAAATGGAAAGAGTACAGTACAAATTATGAAGTACTATATAAATTATTAGTATAGTTTAATTTTGGGTGTGTTTGCTTTTAAATACAAAAAAGGGGAAAGGTGTGAAAGGAGCTTTGGAACTAATAGCGTGCTGTTGTTGCTCTGGCTTTCTAATTTTAATTTTCTTTTGCAGGTTGATAGCAGAATTCCATTTCTGAACTCGGGACTAGGCTATCCCATCTCTCCTTTGCTGCCTTTTCAAAGTTTCCCAGATACAGTGGCTGTCAAAAGCATCAACCAGCAAACTTCAGGACAAAAGGCAGGCACCCAAATATATAATTTTATATTCTATTGCATCTTTCCAAGTTAGCATTATAAGCTGCTGCACACCCATAATACAGGCTTTAAGAATACATATAACAAGGACTGAGCTGCAAGTTCTCATATGGAGAAACTGCTACCTGTGGCAGCAGAACTAAAAGAAATATTTTTTAATGAACAAAAAAATTACCCTGTCACTGTTTTGGCAAACCTCATCCCTCAGGAACAACTCTTTCCCCTCTTAAGTTGTTGAAATATCTTAGCCTCTCCTTTTTGCAGGTATATAAAGTGAAATTAATTTTCACAACTGCCCTTCTTTATAATTTCAACTAAAAAGCCTAAGGTTTATGCCTTAGCAGCTTAAATTAAGTTTTAGTGTTGTGCTGAATGAACCAGATTTTAGGATAACTCTTCTCGGCATTCTTTAATGTATCATTAAAGCCTAGACATAAAAATGTGAGTGTGTGGAAATTTTTCTGTCTCCAGCAGGTTCAGTTCAATGTGCAGCCTCAAGAGACCAACAGATGTTCGGATTCGCAGCCAGGGATTCCTCTGATGACAAATCACCCAACGAATAAAGAGAAGTGAGTGCTTGTGCTTTTAGTTGAGGAGTGGTCCATTGGTGGCCCTGGCCTAATTATGTATGGGTGGAGGTTGCCAGAAGAGAGGAAAGGGGTGGCAAAATGGATGGCACAAAGTCCTTTGGCAAGAGTGATTGTCCTTCTGCTGGCAGTCTGCAGGATGTGAGGAGAGAAAAGGAGTGGGTGGGAGGAAAGGAAGGAAGGGAAGGGAGGAAGGAAGGAAGGAAGGAAGGAAGGAAGGAAGGAAGGAAGGAAGGAAGGAGGGAGGGAGGGAGTCTACATCCTCAATGTGTCTCCCATCATATTTTCCCTGAAGGAATGTGGCCTTTGACTGAAAAAGGATCCTCTGACATGTTTTAGATGACCAATTGTAAAAAAACCACAGTATTCTCCTGCCCACACCCCAAGAGTAACAGCAGCAGTATTGTTTTAATTTTGAGTGGGAGGAATGTGCACAAGGGACCCTTGAGATAAATCTCTTGGGATTTTATACACAGGTATGCCTGATCTTTTTCATCAGATTCCTTTTCGTGGAGAAGCTATTCGGTATGACTGAACCCATTTATGATAACTATCAAAATACCGTCCATAACAGAGTGACAGAGACTAAAGGGCAACATGGCGATGCGTTGGTCTGTTTTCCTCTGGCCACACTGGGCATATCAAAAGTGGCGGGATCCAGCAAGTGAATGTGATGTTCATAGAAGATGCAAAAGTATTCTGTGATGCTACTTGAATCCAAAGTATAGGTGAAGCTGCATACACGCAGTCATTTCGATATGCATACTTTTAAATTATCAGCTGAATGAGATGACTCCCTTGCGGAATTCAATCTGACTTCCCTTAAACATGTATAGCTGCTTTATGCGGAATTAATACTGCGTTACGTGAATCATTGATCTACTTACTATGTCTGGCACTGGCTCTCCATCAGATGCCTTTCCTATCAGCTGCTACCTGATCCCTTTAAGTGGAAATACCCAGGAACTGAACCAGGGATTTTCTGCATGGAAAGCATATGCTCTTGCAGTGAGCAATATGACTCTTCCCAGCTGTAGCCCCTCCCTGACAATGGGCTTGATCTGAATAGAAGCCAAAAGCTGCTGCCAGACCTTGGAAACTATTACATGAGCACTGTTCCACAGCATTTGATATTTACATACATGCATTCGAAATAAGATGGGTTTATGAAGCAATTCTATATCCTCCCACCACGCCGATGAAGAATTCTATGAAACAGTAGTCAATATCCGGAAGCACTGTTCAGTGTGGGACATCATATTTGCTGAATACACAAAGCTTCACAGCTTACCTTTCATCGTACAAAGTCTGGTACCTCGCTTCATTTAAAGATTTTCAGAGACTTTGAGACTAAAGATTTTGTACTTGTTATGGTTTCTATAAAGATTACTGTATTTTTCACCCTATAGGGCGCACCGGCCCATAGGGCTTACCTAGGTTTTTTTTTGGGGGGGGGAATAAAGAAAAAAAAATTATTTCCCCCCCAGGTGTGGGGCTGGGGTGGGGGAAGCCCGAGCTTCCCCAGAACAGGCTGCTATCCGCAAGCCTTGGGAGCCCGGCGGGAGTTCCCGCCGGGCTCTCCAGGCTTGCGGATATCTGCCCGAAGCCCGGGGCGCGCTGCTCAGCGTGCCCCAGGCTTCAGGGTGCAGGCTGCTATCCGCAAGCCTAGGCAGTCCAGCGGGAACTCCCGCGGGCTCCCAAGGCTTGCAGATAGCTTCCTGAAGCCTGGAGAGCGAGAGGGGTTGGTGTGCACGGACCCCTCTCGCTCTCCAGGCTTCAGCAAAAGCCTGCATTCGCCCCATAGGACGCACACAACATTTCCCCTTCATTTTTGGAGGGGAAAAGGTGTGTCCTATAGGGCAAAAAATACAGTATTTATTGCGTATGTACATGGTCGTGTTGCCTAGGCATTGCAGACCTTGGACGCTGGCTGGGGAGACCCAGGTTCAAATCTCCACTCGGCCAAGCTTACTGGGTGACCTTGGGCTAGTCAGTCTCTCACAGCCTAATCTACCTCACTGGGCTGTTATGTTACGGTAGATAAAACATAGAAGAGCCATGTATCTTATCTTTAGTTCCTTGGTGGAAAGGCAAGATACAAATAATACTACTTTGACACAAATAATACTACTTTGACTAAGGCAGTCCAAAACAGGCTACATGTCTGAGTGTTCCTGAACTAATGTCTAACTTGTGGCCCTCAATATGTTGTTGGGACTCCCATTAGCACCAGCCAGCAGGTTGGACTACAACTCTGACCTCCCCCAACACCATCTGGAGAGTTTGACTTCTTCTAAAGAAAGCAGTATTTTAGGAGACCATAAAATGTATTATTTGAAGATCTTATGAAACCCCAGCTTAGTGAACTTAGAAACATTCTTTGAGTGTGGCAAACTGAAATGGTTTCTTCTTATTAAGTATCTTTCTTCTGATTTAGTGGTGAAAACATGGGATTGGAAGCAAAATATTTGAAGAAAAGAGAAGACAGCATTCCTTTACGAAGGCTCAGCCAAAACACATCTCACAACACAGGTGGGCAAGCATGCATGCGCATTAAACTTAAAATGTGAGAAGTTGCTCTAAAACTTTTTGAAATCTTCTGAAGCTGTTCATTTAAGATTCTTTTCCCCATTATTAGGACACCTGAAGTCAACTGCCTTGATAAAAACACAAATACCAGCCAAATCTGCAGCACCTTCCAGACCCTCTGCTTACTTCCCTGGATAGTGGACAACATATTTGCCATGGTAAAACGCTTATCAGCAGTTGCAATTCTTTTTATGATTATCTCCCCTGTAAAGCGTCAACATAAACTCATTTAGTAAGCAATGAAATATCTGAGAGATAACAAGAGCTAGTCTTTTGGTCTGCTTACATTGTAATGTGAATTACAGAAATTTCCTAACAAGACTTCCAACATTGTAAGGACCCAAATGAGTGATTGAGCAATTTTGTATCAAGTGCACTGACGGGAAGCAAGGTTTGCAATTTCTCTCCAAGGCTGAATTCTCTGTGCTACATGTTTCTTCTTGGATATGGACCTCAGAGGTAAAAACTCATCTTTGAAGCCTTGGAGCCTTTTCTTTATTTTAAAGCTTGTCAAAGTTACTATGCACTTCAGCTGTGACTCTTCAAGTCATCGCTACCAGCTCCTGGTTACATTTAAATTAAAATTTTACCAAGGATGAGCTCATCCATTCATTCTATGCAACACTTTGAGGCTTTTGGAAGTGCAAATGTCAAACTAAATATTGATTGTCTGTTGCTTATTTGACCAGATGGTGGCACTCTTTATAAACGTTTTGAACCTTTCCTAACTTTACAGGGAGAAAAGTAAATAAGCTGCTCCAGGTTTATTTTGCAATCTTGCAAATTTATTTTTCATTGCTCCTAAATGTAAGTAATTTGGTAGTGTTCCACTAATTTCAATGGGACATTGAGCAGTGCAAAAATCCACCAAGATTCCTAATAATAGTAAGCAACTGTGTCTAGTTCTTACCAGGGTTCAGGCATTACTTGACATGGTTGAATACCAAATGCAGCAGTCTAAATTAGATTTGCCAGGTGAGTTCAGCCTTACAGCAAACTCTTATTTTCATTTAATTTTGAAATATATCAACTTTTTATATCTTAATGGTCTGTAGTATAATATCAGAGTATCTTTAACATTCTAAGTGACTGTTCAACATTTGAATCACAACAAAGGATAATTTTGCTGCTTTTCAAATTATTTTAAACTTAGGATGTCAGTTTTTAAGTTGTAAAATGTTGCAGTCAATGTATAGTGGCATGATTTAAGAAGTCTTACATTACATAAAACGGGTGCATACCTATAACAAACAACTAAAATAAATGAAAATCAGCAATCCTTCAAAATGATTTTGAGGCCTTTACATTGCTCCTGCAATCAGTAAGATATATAAGCACTATTCTGATTCTCCCAAAAGCTATGGAATTTCAGAATACTTGATGGTGGGTGCAAGACCTATTAATCTCAGTGGGTTGTGATTACACTTCTCTATTCTAAATAGAAGCAGTGTAAGATTTTTGCAAAGCATGTTTTTTTTATCAGTCTCACTGATTTATATTGGGAACTCTACATGTGTGATTTCAAAATTGAAGTGTCATTTCTTTAGCTGTTAGCAGTCATGATATTCAAGTCTCTTAAAGGTGGTTAGTATAGTAGGTTGTTACCCACTTATGAGTGGCTTGCTTTTTTAGCACATGGGCTTTTTGTATATTGTTACAGGTGTGTAAATACAAATTATTTGAACATGTATTGCAGAATCATTCCTTGCAGTGTAAAATTTGTACATTTGTCTTTTAATCAGAATGCATGTTCACATGTATCTAAATGCTTGTTTCAGTAAATTTTCAAATGAAACAAATACTGCTGGTGGAATTAATCTATAAATTTTGACTCTTAAGAGAAGATGCAAACATTTAATTTTGTCAACTGACAAAAGCTAAGGGTTGCATGGTATTAAGGCTACAATCCTACAAAGGCTTACGTGGGTCTGACTTCAACAAATATGACACAGGATTGCAAATGCTCTTAAAAGAGACTGTTGCAGAAAGTCAGCTTCTGCCCATATTACATCTACCCCATGCTATAGAAGATGGGTCACAAACCTTTTTTGGACTAGTGGGCACATTTCCAACTTTGAGAGTGCTGGGGCTGCCATGGGGTGGGAACATGGCAAAACACAAAATGAAAGAGCTACTTCTAGCAACTTTGTTACCCTGGGAAGACAGCTATATCCTATTTGTCCTGATTGTGGGAGATCAATACAACACTGATTTTTACCTTCATGCATTGTGACCTGTTGCTATTAGCAACAGCATGCATTCCTCAGTACCAGGAAAAATATACAAGGCAGGCATAACACACTCATTCTCACTTCACAGAAATTGCTTCGTAGGTACCTGCACATTTTGCCCCATAGCTTGCTTTCTGAAACAAACAGGAGATAACCCCAGTCCAGTAGGCAAGATTTGCCTAGCCTTCACTTGAAGGACACAGGGATTTTTAGATCTTACATCAGTGCATTTGATTTGTGCCCTACTCCTTGTATTCCAGAACAGAAATTTTGCAGTTTTTCTGCCAGTAGAGAAAGCATGTCTTTTCTCAGATATTATAGGGCAAGGTAGCAGCACTGTCAATTTTTAAGCTTAAACACCTTATTGAGTCGGATCACTGCTCCATCCCCGAGAGTTTGAGATAACACCAGGGATTGCCAGGCTGATGACCCTTAAGCCTTATCTACCTCCATAATTCTACCCATTCAACTGGTAAGTTTTTGCACAGGAAAATTACAAAATGAGGTTTAGAGTAACTGGCAAGATGCACCAGTCCTGCCTAGGACCAAACAACTACAGCAAAGGTGTAAATATAAATGCCCAGTTGTGCGCTTGCCGTACTACTCTAGTGCTTTCCCACTACTGTCTCAAGTGGAGGAGGTGCTCACCAAAAGCATTTCAAGTTTCAATTCTACGGTTATCTTATACGAAATATAACTCCTCCATTAAATGTATATAAAGAAAATTGTTACTGACATTACTGGCTGAAGACAAGGCCCAAAAACTGTACATTACCTAATAAGATTCCCTTCTGGAAAATAACTATGTTGATTAATTCTTTATATAGCCAAAGGCAGAAATCTTAACAGCTAAATCCAGTTGGTGCTATGTTTTTGCTCCTATAATAGTTTTACAAGAGCCAAATTTGAAAAACACCCTTATATTTAGTCAGTAAGGAATTCTTTCTACTGTATTCCATCTCTCCCCTTCACCAAGTGCTCCAACAACCGTCTAAAGCAGTTTTAAGATTGGGAGGGGGATTGCCAAATTTTCCTCCCCATTCTGCTTGCAGATTCTTTTCCATTAATACATAGTCACCATTGGATACTACACCTTATAGAATATGTTTACCTCTTCCTGGTGTCTCATACAAAGCACAGGCTGGTGATGCCTTTAAGTAGTAAAGAATATCTGTGAGTACATAGAAGAAGCAGTGTTACCATGAGAAAGGCATAAGCTCATCTACACACATGGCATATAGTCTTGTTTCAAGTAATTTGTTTTTAAAAAATCACTAAAATATTCAACTTTATTAACAGTGTATTTACATATTTTTTCCAGCTTTTAGTCAACCGTGGTGCATTAAAAAAGCTAAGCAATAACCACAGTACAAGATGAAAACATTTTGAACTATACAATACTTTATACACGTTTTATACAAAGGAACACTTAAATAATACAACCGGACACAAAAATATACATTTTTAGAGAAATTCACATCAGTAATTGTATAAAGCTCTCTCCTGTACTGTGGTCCTGAAACGGCAGGACTAATCCTTGGCTCTGAAGTGTTACTTGTGACAGTCCTGAAAGGCCACTATAGCGCAAGGATTGCCGCCACTGTTACTAGGCAGGGCTACTTACCAGTCGCCACTCTCTCTCTCTCCGCAGACTTCATTCACAAATAACAACAGAGCCAGAGAAGGCAGATCAACTGCCATTTGGCTTTAGCTCTGTACTTAAAAAGCTACCGTCGCTGACCAGTAACAGAAGTGGCAATCCAGCATAGACCACACCAACGTCTTCAAGGCTATCAGCTTAGAGTTGAGTTTGTGTGTTCAAGTGTTGAGGTCCTTATGCAAAACATCCAAAGCATAGTGGTATCAAATTGTATTTAGGAAGGTAGAGTTCTGGAGCCAGTAATAAAATCTTTTAGGCTCACGCTACCCACTAGTTTTAAGTACTACATACTGATATATACTTAATTAAAAGAATGAAAGAATTAGCAGAATAATGCACTTAAAGGAGTGTGTACTGTTCAGGATGTGTGTTCAACACATGATTGTGTTAGTAAAAATAAGGAAAGCCTGCCAGACACTGATTTGACAGTCCAAGGTCAACCCAGTTCACTTTTCTTGGTCAAGTGCATCTACATTAAGGCTTTGAATTCGTCTGACCCAAGATTTTACAGTTAAAATAAATGGGTACCCAAGTCCTGCTAGTATGTCTCATTGAGACCAACATGAAGAGAATAAAGCTTAACACCTTCCAGAAACTGATGCAAGAACACATGCCGATACCTTGAATATATATAATTTAGTTTCAAAATTAAGATGAAAAGATTTAATAAGTTTTTGTTTTTTTTCACTAGGACATTATGGCAAAAAATCCTAGAGGGTTAAAAAAAAATCAAAAATCAAATAATTTAAGTTGTAACTTCTTTGGAGGATTTTCCACTTCCTGTTTGTGGTTCTTACAATTTTCATGCAAAGAGATAAAATTTCTTAAGACCACCTTAAGAAACGACACTTTCAATGGAAATGGAATGTGCATCCAGAACTGCAGGTGGGGGGGGGGGGAAGAGAGTAAGAAACTCGCTCTAGGAGTCCTTGAGTTTTGTTGTCATACATTTGTGTCTTGTAATAAAGGTTCCTTGGCCTCTCCAGGGGCCTGTGGACTGTGCGGGTGACCGTGGCCACCGCAGTGCTTTTTCCAGTTGCTCGATCGACCATTTAAGTTGGTGTGTTCGGGAATAAACAAGGCAACAAGCAGAGCCAGTAATACAGAGCATGCTCCAAACAGGAATGGGGGACCAGGAATGATGGAGTTCTGCAAGGAAAAGCACAAGAGAAGCTTAACAAAAGAAACCACCACTTTTAGTTTGAATTGCGTTTCCCCTTTAGATTATCTTACGCCAGATGTTAGTGCAGCAAAGACTGGACACTGGGCCAACAGAGTTGCAAAGTTTTTTCCCCACCCTTCCTCCCTAAACGATTAGAGGGCACTGGACTTTGAACCACTAAACGCAAACAATAACCTATCATCTCACCCCCGGCTGTGTGGCATATTTAAAACCAAACTACAAAACTGCTCCAGATATTTGAGAATGCCAAACACAACAGGTAATCCCATATATATCATTCGAAGTAGAGATGATGGCTACTCTATGCATTATTATTTTTATTATATTATTATTATTATTATTATTATTCTGCACCAAGCATTGGACTTGCAAGAATAAAATGTTCACACAGTAGTTTGCTGGCAAAAGTAATACAAAATCTTTGTTGGCAAAATTCTGGATTTACCCTTGAATGCCATTGCATTTATCAATCAGAAATCGGTCTTAAGCTGCATATGGGTTTTCTCCAGATACTGCAAAAGCACTATGCACTTGCGCCTCACTCCCCTTTCCAACAGCCAAAACTGCAGCAGGCAAGGTATGACACAGTTAACAAAATGATTTTCCAGCTGTGGACAGATGTGAAGTATTATTTTTTTAACTCAAGAATGGTGAAACAAATAGCCTTTAGTATTTCCATGTAGTGATGAATTCCATGTAGTGATATATTAAGCCATTTTGAGGATCAGATATTCTAAGCCAGGTACAAGGTACAGTACATTCTAAATGTTGTGGACTCCCAGCTCCCATCAGTCCAGTCAGCATGAACGATGGACAGGGATGATGACACCTGTATGGTATCACACAGGCTACCCATGCTGTAAGCTTGGAACTCGCAACCTCTGCTATCATGTACCAGAGAAGATACTTTTTAGAGCAACCGTCACAAATTCTGTTTCTGAAATGACTCTTTAGGACAAGTCACACATTAAGCAAAGTCTACCACCACATATACACCTAAGAGGTACTTGTATGCAAGCAGTGAAGTGTCTGCCCTCCCCTGTTAAAATATACAGAAATGCTGAAGACAATACCTGCTGCGAATGGTGCTGTGTGGCTACATTATCTCCCAGATCATTCTGAGTCACTGGAATTTCATTCAATTCTACATGGAAAATGTAGAATATAAAACCATAAAGTGCTGGTCCCAAGCCATTGCAGAGGCCTCTAATTCCTGTTATCATTCCTTGAACGACACCTAGAAAACAAGAAAAGAATCAGCTACAGGCTAACAGTTTTCTCTACTGGGGCCATGATAAAAAAAAAGGCTACTGTGTGCTTAACAAATATTTGCCTGCCTTATCTGGAAACTGTCTCCCCACAATCCCGAGACTGCTAAAGATATTTTGATCACTTTTTACTAGTACTCAATGTACTTCTAAAAAAATAAAGCCATTTATTGGTTCCAAGAATTTTCCACTTCATGTGTCTTGTCTTATGAAGTGCCTACCCTGTTGATCAGCATCAGCAGTTCGCGAAACAAGTGCACTGACGGCTGGAAACGTGATGCTAGACATGGCAGCAACAGCCCCTGCTGCCCACATCATCCTGGAAAAAAGTTGAAATTGGAATGGATAAATTTGTCAGAATCACCTCTGAGAATTTCAGCTCGAAATCACATAATACTGCAGAGAAATCAACCATTTGTATGACAAGAACGTGCCTTATTATTATTGTTATTAGCA